TTTCCCGGTTTGCCTCCGAATGTGTTGCCACTTCCTGAAGTGCCGATTGTCCGCGATGCCCGCGACCGTTCTCCGGCTGATCGCCCACGTGCGCCGTCTGCGCCTTCCGGTCCTGTTGGTTCTGCTGAACATAATTTTGTGCCTGGCTATTTGGCCCAACAGCAGCAGCGGGAATTGGATGCTGATCGTCGACGTCACATGGCTGCGGAAGTTTCTCGCCGTTTGGATGCCGCTGCAGCGTCTGGCTCTGGCATTACTGGTTTGTTTTCATTGGCTCCCAGTGCTGGCAAGTAACCTTGACTCACCTTTGTCCTTGATCTTTTGCTTTCTTTGATCTCGCCTTTTTACTGGCCTTGTGTTGTCTAATGACTTTGCTTTACCAAAGCCGTGTTGATCTTATTGCTACTGATATTCTTTTGCTGGTTTAAATTTGCTCTCATCTACCAGTAATTTGTCCTCATGATTTTTATGCAGATATTTTTGCTTGTTTGTTGTTGTTGACCGTTGTTACTGGATGATGTAGTACTCGAGAATTCGTAAGAATACTACTGGTTGTTGGTTATCGCGGTCTCGTTCGTTTAATGCATAGTTCTACAGAATTACACATAATCACATTTTAAGATTTTAGTTTCACAGTTAATAAAGCTTTGTGCCGTAAACTGTACATAAAACACCATCCAAACTCAAGCGGCACCATGTCAGTAATTCATAGTTTGCCTTCCTGGATCCTTGGACCTCCGCCCTGCCAAACCCGTGGACTTCCGGATGCCTCTTCGCCAAGGATTCCACACACTAACTCTCTGGAATCGCGGCGTACAGTCACATTGGGCATCGGATGGACGCGTGGATTGTGCGGTGGATCGGGATCAGGATGGATGGAAGTGCACAATCGCACTGGGATGTTGCGGGATGGATTGTTTATTTTGGCACGGCCAAGCATCGTTCGTGGGGGTGACGTATGGGAGTAGGATCATACGCCGGGTGTACGTACTGGATGATGACTGTCCGCCTTCCACCTGCAACATAACGGATAATCTAGTCAATCAATGCTGTGATTTGCTGTTCTCTTTTACTAGCGATGTATATGATGTCATAACGCAAAGTCTATATAAGTTCTGGTGATGCCTAATATCGGGATCAGTAGTCTGAGATTTACTTCTGAGACTGCTTCTAATTACGATTTCCTAGCGTTGTGAACTGTGATGTGAATTGGATAAAGAGACAGCAATACTTGTTCCTTCTGATGTACATGATCGCTCCCGGATTATTGCATAGAATACAGGTTTGCTCGTGACACAATCGTCCTAGCTCTTACCGATCCTCACAGGACTTACGACCGGAAGTTGTGGTTAGCTCGTTCCTGAGGGATTCCTGATCTTCTCGTGTTCCTGAATCGTTCGTCTATTTCCACCTTAGTTCTTCTGTTACAGTTTGAGAGTACGAGTGCCTACCGATTGAGCATTACAGGCGTGGAAGAGTAAAGATTGTTCATGGAGCCTTAACCGGCGTGAACGCTTATACACGACACAAGGGAAAACATCTTGCGCCAGTTCCTGGTACAGCACTCATCCTTTAATTACCACGAGCCTTGTCTTATTAAGCTCTCATGTAATTGCAGATTACCTCGAAAATGCTACACATGGATGCATCTCAATACGTACGTCGGTCATATAAATTTTGCTGTAATTGGCAGCTTGTCAGCTGTGAAATGAAAGCTGATTAGGTCTTCCTGTACGTGCGACCCATCCTCGGCCCGTCATCACTGGATTTCACCTGGGAAATGAAGGACGGCCTGGATCAGGTGAATATACCATCAAGTTAAAAATAAAAATACCCGAAAAAAACGGATTAGTGATGCGGTTTGTATCGGTTAATTTTACGCTAGACGGATTTATAAACGATTTGCTTGACCTTTTGCCTGGTTATTGTTCAGGTTGCTTACGAAGCTTTGCAGTCTGTGATTGCCCTAAACTTTATCAATCCCGATTGGTCAGCTATTCGTGATATCATTGACGCGCAAGCTCAGCGCTCGGTCGATACATACAATTATACATTTGCGCCCGATGAAAAGGTACATTCCAACCTGCATTATTCAGTATCATAAGAACTGTACAGAGAACACGCAAAGAAAACACTAATCACGGCATTTTTTGCAGCGCAACGATATCGCGATGGCAATTTACGAAAGCCTTTACGTGTTGACTTATGTGAGCTTAAAACTGAAAAACCATTCAGTTATTAAGCATTTATAAAGGTCATGGCATGTGCAGGTTTTAAACGAATCGCTCACCGTGTTACCGCATACCGGCGCCCGGCAGTTCAAGGAGGAATTCATCAATCGCAGTTTCGAGCTGCCTTCGCGTCAGTTGACGATTGGGCGCAATGGAATGCGTATCGTCGATACGGTGTTCTCACGCTTTAATTACAGCGTTAATGACTGGCAGGTACTAGTATTTCCGAAAACTTGCTGGTACTTTATTGCTTAAACGGACGGCTGAAGTCAGTAATTTGCAGCCAACGTAAACTGCTGATTTTATCGCATACAAAACGGTCAGCTTTGCCCTTCGATTAATGTCTCGCTAATATAATTCCATCGAATATACATTTACTAGGTTTACCATCCGTAGGTCGTCTGGCGTTTTGCCTTTGCTAAGCAAAAGATCCTGTTGATATCCGATGCCGCTGGGAATTACCTGCCTGTGCCTAATCGGCCGGCATGCGGATATCTTAACGACCGCTGCTTCGATCGCCAATCAAGTACAATCAATCGAAATTGCCGGTAGCGTGACATGGCTGCAAAGGTCAAAAATTACAGATTTACCATTGTATGTCGGGATTGCTGTGGCCGCAGTTGTCATTCTGATCGGCACGGTCGTGACGTTTCGGTAAGCGTGGGAATCGATTCCGTCGATATTATCTATTTTTTTTCCAGTGTGTAAATAAATTCCGGCATTTCTGTGAGGGATAATTTGATCAGTAAATAGATATAAAATTAATATCAAAACGGCCACTGGCTTCGTAATTATGTAAGATAAATGCGTAGAAAGCTGAATAGCGCAAAGAATGAGGATCCTGACCGATGGCTGTTAACATCCGATGAGCTGCACCTAACAGCAACAACGCTACTGCATCAGAGACGGGAATCGGTTGTCGCTGTGCCGGCGAATATCTTTTTGCATTTGTCGTATAAAAACCAGCCGATCTGGTGCCGCGTGGTAACCGGCTACAAAGCCATGCACCAGCCTCTTCCACGGAGAGTTTGTGAAGCATTCAGTACCGTGAGTAGCATGTCAGCGCAGGTTCTAGCGCCCAGCTAATGGTATTAATTTAATTCCATTTAGATCAGCAATATTCAGCATAAGAACGTTGCCGGTCTGTTGGGTATGGGCCGTTGGGAAGAAATGAGTCTAATAGTGTGGGAACTGGGGCGACAAACGCTGCGGAGCCTTTTCGCCAATGAGAAGCTCAGCGCTGACGAGGACCTGCAGATATCTCTGATGCGCGATATTCTTAACGTAAGTGCCGGCTTCAAAAACTGATTCAATGCATTAAACTTTCGTGCATCAGTTTTCCGATTTTTTTTTTAAATATATTATTTATCGTTTTATGTCTTTCGAACAGGGGCTAACGGCTATCCACAAATGCAGTCTGAAATTTCACGGCAACCTATCCAGTTTGTCTGTGCTCCTGGACTCACGCTTTACAGCAAAAATTTGCGATATCGCACCGCAGCGTATCTGCCGCTATTTCGGACCCTCCAATTTTCTACTGGATGCCAGCGTTGTTTTGACCAACGACTCCAAAGAAAACCCGTTGGGTTCTCGGACCGATGATGTCTTCGCTCTGGGCGTTCTTTTGCAGGAGATCCACCTGCAGCGCACCGTGACAATAAAAGATATCGAACAGCTGCGACATATTGCTCTCGGTAGAAAACATTTCTAATACTATATAAACCGCTGCGAATAAAAAACTTACTGCGCTGACAGGTCCGCGGAAGAGTGTTAGCAAGGTTATTACAAAGAATTTTCATCTGTTTTGCGAGGAAATCAGCCGCGATTGTACCGCATCCGAATCCAGCAAACGTCCACACCTTAAAGAGGTGGCATCTAAATTGTCGCGTTTCAGTCGCTCTAGCCGTTCGATTGTGGAGAAAATTCTAAAACGCTTGGCACGGCATGCGGAAGCGCTAGAAGATGCCGTGGCGCACCGTACCCATGAGCTTCTCGTGGAGACGAAGAAGAGCGATGCCCTGCTTGCCGAAATTATTCCTCCGTATGTTGCCTTCATACCATCGAAAAGTGTTTTTCTAATTTCCATTGTCTTGTAACAGAATGCTTGTACAACGGTTGCGGAATCGTCAACCGACACCGCCGGAATTCTTCGACGCGGTGACGGTGCTGTTCAGCAGTTTGACAGGCTTCGACACCTTCTGCAGCCAGTGCGAACCGCTGGCCATCGTCACGCTGCTCAATGATCTGTACGTCTTATTAGACGGACTGCTCAACTGGGAAGATGTGTATAAAGTAGAGACGATCAAAGACGGCTATGTGGTAAGTGGAAGGGTCCACACACCGCTACACCAGTTTTTGAAGAGGGAAAATGTAGGTTGCCAGTGGACTACCGCTTCGGAATGGCCCCGCTCACGTGCGGAACGTTGCCGTACTGTCCCGGAGAATGGTCAGCACGGTAGCCGAAGAAAATGCAAAAAATCGTTTGTTACCAATTCGTATCGGATTCCATACCGGTTAGAGTTGATGACTCTGTGAATTTTTAATGTTGGCATACGATGGCATTAGCGTACGTTGGCCTTAGCGTTAACACATTAGTCTTTTACCTCTCTGTATTTTAGGATCATGTGTGGCTGCTGTTGTTGGACAGAAGCTGCCGCGTTATTGTCTGTAAGTAACTTGGATGCCGTTTCTTATTGGTAGTTCTAGAATTACAGTGTAAAAGGCAGTACTTGTACACGACAATATGCTGTTCCAGTTTTGGTGATACAATGAACACGGCCAGCCGCATGGAAAGCAATGGACACTGTAAGTGCTGATGAACTTCGTATAATAATAAAAACACCGGAATTAGCTAATCGTTGTAAAATAAATTGTTCTGTTGGAAGATTACTGAAGATGGTTTGAACAAAATGATAAAGGAATTACTGCAGCGCTGACAGACCAATGAAATTGTTGCAGCTATGAAAATTCATCTCAGCGAAACGTCGAAAAGCATATTACAGCATTTCCCAGGATTCCACTGTCGCTCTCGCGGCGTAATCAACATCAAGGTAACCGACACCGTCTTGATAGTAAAGATTATTTATCCACACAGTGTCATGACGGAAACTGGTTGGCAGGGCAAAGGTCAAATGGAGACATTCTGGTTGGATAAAGAACAGCTGTACATGTTTTTCGTGGCGTTGCTTTTCTCATCATATCGGTTACACGATGGACGCAGCTAGCAGCGCCACCAATGCATTAAAATCCATCGCCGATTCCAAGCAAGTTTCTACCGCGACGCCAAAGGTATGCTGAGCAGTATTGCCCTTTGTGCACGATGTCTGTTTTCGTAGCCTGTCAAGAATGTAAAAAGTGAGCTTGCTGTGCTAACAATTGTCAGCCGTTGTTTTTCTTGCGTCCGGCATTTATTGTGATCTCACATGGCACACCAGCTAATACTAATTTTCGGGCTTCGGTACCTTTTGCAGCGTACATCGTACATCGCACATCGCACAGACGTACATCGCACAGACGTCCAGAGTGCCTGGTAGTGCAGCGGAAATACGGGAAAATCGGAAGTTAGAAAAATATAGCGGGCTGGCAGACCGTTACATCGTTCAGCCGCTGGCGATCGAAACTACAGGTACATTTGGACCCCTGACGAAGAAGTTCTTCAAAGAGCTGTCAAGAAAGATCATCGACAGCACAGGCAACCCCCGCTCAGGAGAGTTTTGACGCCAAAGAATTGGTATCGAGATTCAGAGAGGAAATGCAGTTTCTGTTCTCGGTACATTTAGCGACATGGTAGAGAAGGAAGATGTTTACTTTGCCTTTCATTTGGCGGAACGGAAATGATGTTATGGCTTTTTTCTTGTTAACTGATACTCTTGTAATACATTTCCCAGCACGAAGCGCTAATAAAAACGCACTTTTGCAGCCGGTGGGAAGGATCGGTCGCCGTGTCACTGCTCAACGGTCGACATATCTTATTTAATGATTTATTCAACCTGGACGATATATACAAAGTGGAGACGGCCACAGACGGCTGTTCACTAGTACCATGTAGCGATTTGGAAAGTTACAAATAGGTTAGTTTAGTTTAGTTTAGTTTATTCAAGAGCAGACAAACCCTGAGGCACTCGCTAGTCTGGTCAGGTAGTTAAACAATAAGTAGAAACACAACACAAAACAAAACACACCGTTGACGGAAGGGTCGAGATACTGAACACCTAAAGAAGATTATTTGAGTGCAACATAGCCAAGTACAGATCCATAGAACCACAGCTGAACACTTCTTCCCCACGTAGTTTTTCAACAACACCATTAGTAGTTTTAGTGAATACTCTTCCCGTTCTTTTATCAAACAGTTTCTTCAGCCTCATCTTTAGGGTTGTCTTCCCGATGCACAGCCGCGCGGTGGCATCGATCCGCTCTGTCCGGCAAAGTTGGTATCTCGCATTCGTTTCCCTGAATGTCAGCAGGGTGCACATATATGACGGCACGTTGAAACTGCTCCGGTTACGAATCTTAAACAGCCAAACCGCTTCCTTTTGGCGCCAACGGTCGGTCGCTGGTGTGATACCCAGCTGTTTATACAGTTGCGGTGTTACCCGACAACTGCCGCCGGTGATGGCCCTTATGGCCGCGTCTTGTCGTTTTGTCAGCTCCTTCTGCTCTCCCAATATCCTCCGTTTTTCTCAGCTTTAACGGTAGTGCAAAACAACATCATTAACGTGTACACCGCCAGCGGCGTGTCGCTTAGAAATAGCGATACCACATTCAGAACATACGTATTATTATTATACTGCCTCGGAGATGGTCAGCTCGGTAGCGCAAGAGAACACAAAGACGTAATTAGTACGATCCGATTAAAATTAAATGTACTGATAAGGTAGCAGAAACTGCTGTATACGATAGTTGCATTAAAGCGGATGCGGTTTTGAAGGCAATCTCGGGAAGAAAAACCATTAAAAAATTCACAAGCTCATGTGTCTCAAAACTGGCTTTGAACTGGCCAAAAGGGATTCGATCTGTGAACCGTTTTCTTTCTGTAACGCGCAAGCCAGTTTTGCCGGCACTGGATTTCGACTGGCTCGCTGCTGGCTGAGAGTCAGTCGAAATCCCGGGATCGATATTGGTTTAATTTATCATGTATATGTCGCTCTTCTCAGCTGTTACTCTTGCTTTTTTCGATTTCTAGTTGACGTTTTATCCGTTTTGCAAGTACATTTGTCTTCAGAGGGTCCGACGATCCGATGGTACCACGCAATGGTCCGATGATATCTTAAAGGCGTTTGCGTCATTAGTGATTTTGGTGCTTTGAAATTTGAATGTACAAATGGCTTACCATATTTCGCTGATCCATAGACTTTATGGTCTCATTGACGAACACGGCTATTGCGCTGTAACAACGTAGCCATTGTTTCGTTAATATGAATATTTTCATCCTTGCGACAAACACAAGTCCGTCCCACATCTAATCAATTTCGTTTTGTCCAGAGTTTTGACTTTTAACTGTACCATTAATTTTTGAACGTTATCTATCTTGAGTTGTTTAGGTAAGAAAGCTAAGCACTGTGAAATGTGAACGCATGCTTATACAGTAACAAGCTGCAGCTGTCAAGTTCTTACAACGGCATTGTCGCTTACCCATTGGCGCACTTACTTTTGCTCTGCGAATTATAAGTGGCATAATCCCTTCTTTGTAATAGCGGCACAACCGCACAAGCCTGCTACTGTGATACGGATTAATGCAACGCGGCATCCAAGACAGGCGGCGTTGGTGCAGCGGTGGTGATGGGACTCGCTGCTTTTGCAGTGTAGCGAAATTTTTAATTGATGAGTTACATTCGCACGGAAACTCATTACACAAGTCTGTGTTCTTTGAAATAATTATAGGCTTGTAGCAAAAGCGTTAGCAATGTGATAATTGGTAATGATTGTTTGCACGTACAAACAGACCGGAGCAAGGACACAATGTGAAACTCCCCTTGAAAATAAAAACAGACTAAAAAAGTTAATGCCGTTGACTTCAACATGCACAATTTTAAGCCAGACTTTACCGTTCATTCCCCTTAGCCATTCACAACGCCTTGCCGTTGCATGTGCACTGTCACGATGCACTCACTTTCCTTACGACTAAAAAAATTTAACCAAAAACTTCCAACTCGAGCTAGGAGCGTGATTGCCATTTCCGATTCACGGAATGATCTGGGCAGTGGGCGGTTAGACGAGGTTGCGATGTGGTGGCTACAGTCCTTGTAGAGTCTTATCATTTCTGCCATTTCAGGAGGTAAAAATTACTTTTCCCTGGGAATGTTTGATTCGGTTACGTAATATTCCATTTCATTTTTGACTACCAAACATGTTGTGCTGACCAAGGATGCTCTCTCAAAAACCCTTCGATCCAAATTCGTGTAATTAACAGAAGACCAAGAATTATTTTCCGGATCATACTCTTCCATAAGTTCAGAGAAGCGGTCACAATCGCGTCCCGAGGGGATACAACCGCCAAATACATAAATACGCCCACCTACTGAGAAACTCCCTTGTCCGATTCTGGGCTGTTTCATATCGCATAATCGCTGAGAGATAAAAGTGTTAATATCCATTCGAACGCATGATTTCATGAAGTCAGAGCGAATACTGTTATGCACCGCCAGCTCCCACTCCCGAACTGCGCTAATCGGCTTCTTATTTCCTATCAATGGGATTTTTGTACCGCCAAATATGTAGACATGATTGCCTAATACGCACAACGAGGAATATTGTCTTGGTTCAATGGGATTTTTACATTTTCCAGCATACTCAATGCAGCCTGCCATTGTGTTTAGTCTTTCAGCACGCAAAAACCCGACATCATAAAGTCTTTCGAGGAATATAAGCGCCCCGCTATTTCCATGAATGGCCATTAACCAAACCTTCCTGAAATTAGCACAATTTTGTAAAAACAAAGAGCGTTTCATTTACAACTGATGCTATTGGGTAAAAAACACCTAGTGACCTCCTGAAACCGATGTTATTGCCAATTGCTAAAACAGAACTTACTCAGCAAGATCCGAAGCACTTTGACTTAACGGTGCCTCTTGGCATGAAAGCACAAGACGACTGCCACCAAACTTGATTTTTCCTTCTTTTAAGCATCCTTTATCCCAAAAATAAATAGACTCATCATTTATAACTGGTGTGACGAACCACCGATGAACTGGAAAATTGGTTTCCACTTGATCCCAGCTCTGGCAGTCAAGGCTAAACGAAAAGATGGTAAATAGCGGAGAAGTCGAGTCCTCTGGCTTTGTTTCAACCTGACAGATGATGTATCTGCGTGCAAGAATAAAGGAATCCGGCACATAATAACAGTTGCAAGGTAATGCGGGAACCTGTAGATTCCTCAAGGTATTGTTGCTGGGGCGGAATACATGCGCCCTAACGGACACCGGCATTGTACCTGAGCCATGAAACTGGTGGACGCACAGAACGTCATTGGCTTTAATTTCGTGCAACGGAATTGGTGTGAGTGCATAACAAATACACGATCGGAGTTGCCTGCTTACGCGGTCTCTGTTCCATTTTGAAAACATTTCCACAGCTGCTTTGAGTAAACTGTTCTGCAGTTTTCTCGGCGTCGGTCTACGGTGTGCGTCTACCATGCACATTGCGATCAATTCGGCCAAGGCTGGGTCAATTACTGAGCTGATTAACGGAACGCAACCTTTTGCGTAATGCATGTAGTACTGTGCATCGTTATTGGAATCATATGTTACAGTATCGATGCCTGGCATGCCGAGTTTTTTGCGAGTGATTCCATAATACCAGTCTGCCATTTCGTGGATTACGCAGCCAAGACTCCAGATATCGGTTGCCCGCCCTACAGACGGTGTTTCTAATCCCATAAACCTCTGCATCATTTCTGGAGACATATAACGAAAAGTTCCACCTAGATGAGAAATTTCGTTCGAGATGGTAACACTATGGCGCATCGGAGCGAGGTCGTCTAAATCGGCTATCACCACAACAAAATGGCGATTAAGTTGTGCCTTTCCCAAGATGTTTTTTGGCTTAAGGTCACGATGAATGTGATGGTTATCATGGAGAAACTGTAATCCACTGGCAATTTGCATACCGTAACACACGATCGCTGACATAGAGGATACTTTTCCCGGGATCATCTTCTGTAGCATGAAATCCAAAGTTCCTTCTGCGAAGCAAAGATTCTTTATGGCAGACAATACTAAGCTTCGGTTGAATCAGATTTGATAACTCTGAGGATACAGGTTCAGTTATTATACTACAGATGGTAAGTCAACAGGAACTGAACGCGCCGCAGGGGGGGGGGCAACGTCGGTTAGCTGAACGGCACAGTACACAGATAAGCTAACCGAGCACCAACCGCCCATGTGGCGCGCTACGTACCTCCTGATCTGACACCATATGTCACCGGCAGTAAGGTACAGTATACGGGTCGATACTTGCAGGTCTAAGCCCTTAAGGTGCCTTGGTACAGAAACGATTCATTGGTACAGAAAGGATTATTGTGCCCACTGTGAACCAATGCAAGTCACATAAACCTTTCTGCCGAACCAACTGATCCGGCAGAAAGTTGAGATTGGAATCGGATAGGAAGTTCGGGAATATCCGATTTCATCCTATCCGAATCCGAATTTCGGGCTGGATAGAGGGTCATTATCCGAAACGTCCAGCTACGGATTCGAATAAGGATAATTTTCCGTAGAACTGGGATAGGGTCGGATAATGGCTTCTTATTCGAACTTTGTCCGGGAACCAAAATAAAATAGTTTAATTGTAACGTTTGCGTTGTGCAAAGAGAATTAGTTTGTTCGCACGTCTTGGTTCTTACGCCAGTAAGTCTGAGAAAATGTTAACGGCAGATAACTGGCCCCTTAACACTGGGGTGCGTGAATGGCAATTCACCCCTAAGGAGTAGTAGTTGCCGCTGTCTCGTACGCTTCATCAAACCTGTCCATTTTTAGTTCATAGTTTGTACTCTCATGTTATACTTATTAAAGGCCTCCCAGAGAAGTACAAGGCTGATAGGTTAATAATTAGTACGTAGCATCAACCTTTCTGCTGGATTTTGGGAGAAATATAATGCACCCCATTTGACCTTGAGCCATCAACCCGTTTACATTTCTGCTGGTGACAACCGTTGTTGAATGATCCAATAGCTGGACAGTATATAATCACAGTGATGATCACTGATGGACTAAATCGTAGTACTGCACGAGATACAGGTACATAATGCTGCTTACAGATTCTACGTACCGGTGCAGTATTCCATAACAAATTGCATCTGCCACACTGAATTATTTCCGCGCAAAATGGCAATTTTATAATATCCGAGCAAGTTTTCATGTTTCAGCGTAAGTAACTTCTGCCACTTCTCGCGCTGCTTTCTTCCGTTATCGCTGTTATCAAAAGGCTGGGAATTCGAGTGAATTATTTTAACAGCCACTTCTTGTCCTGTGTACTGATGCAGATGACTCTCGATAACTGTGGCTTTATAGACAATACCATAGCCCCCACGACCAATGAAGTCCGTGAAGTTAAAGGAAAGACTAAGACTGGCTCCAAATGCTTCGATTTCGTCGCCATAGAGAGAAGAATCCATTATTTCGGGAACAACTTAACCTTTGTCTGCAACAAAAAAAAATGCGAAATGTGTTTTTCTTGCAATCAATCTTTCCGATGCGTTTTTTCCTGGAGTCTGGGCATTGCTTCATTGCGAGAAGCGTTTTTCTGAACTCGTCAAATGAATAAACAGTTCTGGGCCCATGGAGACCGTCAGCTACCGCCATTATCAAGGAAATCGGGAAACGTTTATGTAGTCAAATCGGAGAGGCTCACTCCCGTGAATTTCTCCGGCATCAACTGTCCTTGGAGATTCGGCGGGGAAACGTGGCTTCAGTTTTAGGAACAATGGATGGAGTTGAAAAGTTATTTGAACTCTTTCTGTAGTGATAATTAAGCTTCTTTCATTGTTTGGTTAACTTGTAAATGGTTATTGATTTGTACTCTGCCGTTGTTCACAAATAAAGCGATTTTTTAACAGTTCTTTTTGGCCTGCATTGAGTGTCATGTACTAAGTTTTCTTATTTCAAGCCTAAGTTTAAGGTAATGTAGTGTAATTAGCATTTTGTACGTGATGTGCACAATAGTCAATCGCCTAATTGAAGTGCATCAGAAATGTCATTTGTTTTACAAAAGGAGCCGAATGACTAATTTGCTGTGCCATGACTGCGATTAGCCGCATTTTTTGTAGCGGCAATAATGTTTTGTAGTGCAACGTAGTGACATCTGCTTTCGCAATAATTTTATGCATTCTCTGTCAAATGTTTTAGACAGATGGAAAGTTTGAAATGAGGCAATTTTTTTCTTGATTAGAGCGGTATGCAGTATTAGTTAGTCTTTAAATAAGCTGGAAACATGCGAACGATTTCGAGGATTTCAACAGTGAAAAACAACCACTACAAATTATTTTCAGTTTTAAGTAACGGTAGGTAGGCACTAGATAACAGGCAGAACGTTTTTAGCAAAAAACGAGCGGTTAGTTAGCAAAATTACCAAATCGAAGAAAGCAAGGAGGGCACGTGCCGGAAGGGGTACCCTCCAAATTTGCATTTGGACCCCATGATGCCTTTGGTTGCCATCGTGCGTGGGTTTCTGACCACATCCTCGAACATCGAATTCTCGCTACGTTTAGGCGTTTTAGTTCTAGCCTAAAGCAGTGTACTTCCATACGCGTATTGTACGATTGATACTGATATGCTAACTTTCTCGTTTTACTTCTTCGGTTGACTGCCAGTTTGTCTGCTTGAATAGGTACACGCAAGTGCTCAGTTCGCTAGTCCCATTAGCAACTCGTGCAGGTGTTATCAATGCTATACCGGTACTTCGCTTTTTCTCATATTCCGGTCACGTTAACTATACAGTTTCATATTCCTGCCACCAGGTAGCAAAATGTTCCAACAAAACAAATTCACAGAAATGGTTAGTCTTCATAGAAGCGACCACTCTCATTAAATTTGAAGCGTAAACATCAATAAATTTGTTAACAAAACAAAACAAATAACGGAAACTCTGAACCGGGTGAGACGCAAAAAACCGCTTTTTTACGTCTAAAAATTTCAGAGAATAATTTTAATGAACCCCTGACACCGTGAGGGTTGGGTTAGTTGGACTTGCTAAGCGAACTACACATTGATGGGTGGCTAATGGCAGTGCGATCTGCAGCTATTCATGTAGTGCGCCACATGTGCGGTCGTACCAGTGACCGGTAACCGGAATATGAAACCATTCACTCAAAGTGACCGGAATATGAGAAATAGCGAAGTATCACTAAAGATTACAGCTGGAAGTTTCGGAGGCGCCTGTAGTCGTACGAGTGCGACGACTATATACGAGTGCCGGTCGTGTTGGTGATGTGGACGCTTTTAGTGGTACAAGCGGGTGATAAAAGTTGTAATAATGGTTGTAATGGTCTAGACTCTAGGACCATCAGTAACTATAATTATTTCAAGAAAGGTTTGCCCATATACACACTACACAGAGAGGTGACAGCAAACTTACCTTTCGAATGTCCTTCGTGGAAAACTGGACGAATTAGCCGTATTGCTAAAACGAACCCGCACTCTAGTGGTGATTGAGAGGTTTGAGTTGCATGACCATATGATTATATCGAAGATAAGGCAAATACGGTATTTATTTTGTTCACTTAAAGGAAATATAATAGCTTACAACATAGTACTGCAATGGCTAGAAAAATTTTGGGTAGCATTTTGCAAAGGCCGGCTGGGAAACGTGTCACGATTGTAGCTGTGTACTTAAGAGCAAGTAAACTAATGCGCAAATAAGCTCTATGGATGACTATGATCCGCAGTGGACTTGTGTAAACTCCAGTGCCAACAGACTTGATAAGCCATTTCTCCATAAAAGTTTAAAAAGTTTGCTTTTAATTTATCTTTGAAGATGGCTGATAATGGAACTCCGCACGACGGCGGGAAGTGCAAACACGTGAATTTGTGACCAGCGACAAAGCGTAGTATTAGTGAACTGAAACGCCTATTGTATATACCTGCCGGTTTATAACCTACATAAACATGCACACGATGCCCGGGTGCAGCGTTTAGACAAACTCCGTGGTATGACTTGGTCGAGCCGCAGCAGTAGACAACCGCAATTCTCTGAAGGTAATTTTTAACATGTCCGGTGATGCACTTTTTTCGTGATTTCCTCGGGCAATGATGACGTAAGTTCCCTCTGCTGACGCCCAACGGACGTTGGAAACCGTCTGGATTACTCAACAGTTTTCAAAAATATCCACGCAGAAATGTGCGTTGGTATACGAGACGTATTTAAAGACGTGCAGTACCAAGCATCCAAAAAATGACCGAACGCTTTCCCACAAATCCTCGCGTGGCCCCTTACTATCATGGTGAACGAAATCAACTTTGACACTGTTGGATCCGCAAAAAAAGTGTTATTTGAATACTACAATATTGAACACAGACTTGCGTATTGTAATTGTTAAAAATTAATTTTACGCAACTGCCCCAACGTGGGCCGTCACCCTTGTATCTGATTTACTGTGTTATATTACTGTTTTGCTGTCCTTTTTTTCACGTTTATTGGTAAGACATTCTTCTTCGGTGCCCAGAACTCACAAAATATAGCCTAGAATCAAATTTTGGAAACACTTACTACTTAGTCAACTATCTTTATAGAACTCGTTTAACGGAGAGTAGCGCCCAGTCACCGTTGCGGTTTATTGGCATCCAAAATTGATCAAGCTATCTGCAGTCGCCGCACCACAATGAAACACCATATTCGTTACCGTTAAGCAAGCGAGCCACTTCGTTTGCAAAATCATTGCAATCGAACGTTGTGCGCTCGTATTTGTGTTTACCATCCACCCGAGCAACAGTATTACAAACCTCTCGAACAGAAAAGTAGCCAATATATTTGCATTTAGTGGCATTCAACCGATTAGTGACGAAATAACTGTAATCTTTGCCCGCCACTCTCCATTGGTAAATGACAAATTCGTTATTTGGAACCTCCACGACTATAAAATGGTGGCGCACTTTTTGAGATCCAGTATATCCAGACAAATAGTCGATCGAATAAATATATGTGTGCCCGGATTCGTAGTCCTTCCCACCGGTGTATTTCTCGCCGTAGATAGCACTATCGGGCCTGCTTTGTGCTCCCTTTATATCTAACGTGACAGTGCCGTTTTCATCGCTGCTGCTGTTGCCCATCTTGCCACAATTTATCTGCACAATTGTAAACTTTTCAACCACCGCAATAAAAAAACATCAAAATGGCTATCGCTCCAGTACTTACTGTGTGGAGGAATAACTGAGGTCGACTGGCTGAGCTGATTTTCGTTGAATTATTAGAAAAAACGTGTATTGTGTAAATTGTTAGAAAATAAGCAAATCATTAAAAAAAATTTCGAAGCTCCTGTATAACTAGGTGTTAAAGCTATTACCAAATCTACCACTCGACGAGCTACTAAATTCGAAGAATGATTAATCTATGTTAGACTTCACACAGCAAAGAAAAGCGGTTTTAAATGCGCTTTTGGTTCCTAGAACAAGCGATTCGCTCTCAGAGAGTGTTCAAATAACTGGTGGGTCGGTTTGTTTGCCAGTTTTATCAATGCAAACAATCTGCAGAACTTTTATCTAGCACACAATAAGTGTAAACACTGAAAAAATAAACAGATGGTTAATTTCACTGCGGAGAGTTTGTGTGAAACGGCAAAAACACAGGCTGTCACGACCTGTGTTCATTATAGAATCGTGACGGTGAAATTTATTTTACTTTGCTTTTCCGGCTGCATTTCTTCAGGTTCACTATGCCTTTGACTTATTGCCAGCGAAAAACGATTTTTACCAAAGGTAGGAGCTGTTATCATGGCTTTTTCAAAAGGTAAATTCGAGCGGTGATGGTTTCCGCGGTTTTACAGGTAAAGGCAAATACAAAGCAAAGGTCGAAAAGACAAAGGGAATAGATGGGGAATGCAGTCAATCTAAACTTAGCCAACCTACTTATGGATGGAAACCCTGTTTGTTTCCTTTTGGTATAAGTCAGATTTGTATTTGATCAGTTTTGAATTTAACTGTAAAAAGCATTGTTTTCGCCACATTACAGCAAGAGGAACTCCGTAAAGTTTGAAATATTGTTATTAAATAAAGTTACAGTACATACTCTGTATTTCTATAATTAATTAAGTATTTGCATTGGTTGATTACTTTCTAAACAGCTTAAACATGTTATTGCGCTTTTATCTGCTTTGATCACTATATTTTATCGTTAAAAACTTAGGCTGTTGCGTTCATAAAGCGGTTTTCATGCTCGTGAAATGGGAGAAATTTAAGGGAAGTGACGCGGTACATGGTCCAACATTCGTATACATGCACGAAATATTTCACCTTTGCGCACTCCAGAACACTTTTTTGTTTTGTTTTATGATTCTGTAGACAGGTGACTTGTTTTCATAGACATAAATACCGTTTGTACGCCCAACATTTGGTTCCGATCTGTATTTAAATTTTTCACTTTAGGGCACACAGGTATGAAGACTGTTTTTACACCGAAGCAGAGCTGCATCATTTTTTTCAGTTTTAAAATGAATATTAAAATTTTAATGTCCTTTTTTTAAAATTAAGAGAAATGTTATAACCTTGATTCGATGTAAAACTATCCTCATGCATATGTGCATTAATGCATTATTATGCAATATTTAAAACGGATCGGTCCACAATGAGACTTTTGTTACACCGGAAGGCATTCAAACATCTTGAAATTTTCTCACAGCAGTAATTCCCGGACCGGATGGTGCGCGCACAAGCGACTTTCACGTCTATGTACAGATATACAAATCATCTGGCTACGGCCAATGTCATAAACAAAGCACAAATTGTTTGAGAGCACGCAAAAGGGGCAGTTTTCGTGCATCTATGCGAATGGTACCCTGTACCGTGTCACTTCCTTTAAGCATTCTGTCGTCTGAAATTACATTTTTTTTGTTCAAATTCATTTATTCGATCTTTCTTAGCTTTGTGCCCAAGTCGTTCGGCATCCGAAATGATCAAGCTCTTGTGCAGCCGCTGCACCAAAATGAAACACCATATTCATTACCGCTAAGCATTTGTGCCACTTCATTTGCAAAATCATTGCAGTCGAACGTTGTACGATCGTTCTCGTGTTTGTGTTCTTCGTCCACATGAGCAACAGCGTTACACACTTCTCGTACAGAAAAGTAGCCAACATATTTGCATTTGGTAGCATTCAACCGATTAGTGACGAAATAACTGTAATCTCTGCCCGCCACTCTCCATTGGTAAATGACAAATTCGTTACTCGGAAGCTCCACAGCTATAAAATGGTGGCATACTTTCCTGGATCCGGTATATCCGGAAAAATAGTCGATTGAGTAAATATATGTATGCCCGAATTCGTAATCCTTCCCACTGGAGCAGTACTTCTCGCCATAGATATCACTATCGTGTTCAGCAGGAACGCTGCCGCTGTTGCCCATCTTGTTGCTGTCCACAAAAGGAAGCTTTTAGTTAGCCGCAAAAAACACAAAAACAGTTACTTCCATACTAATTACGAAGCATTAACTGAGGCCACTGGTTGACGTTAATTTCACTTAAAAAATTAGCAGAAAATGTGTTTTTATTACCTGTATGGTAGTAGTATTACAACTATAACACTCAGTCCGTGAGTCAGCTGCTAAATTTATCAACTGATTAGTTTAAGTCAGGCAAGGAATGTCGGGTTTTAACGAATTCTTATTCATACTACAAGTGATTTGCTTTCACTGAACGATAAAATGCAGGTAGATGTGCAAGTGCGCATCTGTTTGCTAATTTAATCATGCATACAACCAGCAGTATTTGGTCTATAATTCTCTCACACGTTCAATGTAAACAGACCAACCGCTTTTGAATTTCATCGCGCACTTTCGGTGCCACAGTGCAAAGCGGCCAAATACTGTACACCACTCTTACCAACTTATTACTCAAGTAGTTAAATACGCGTAACCAGTGTACAGATACAGTCCTGGCAAAAATTGGCGCAGTTGCGTTAATACGAGTAATATTATAAATTGATGTTTGCAATCGTTCTGCGTGTACACATATTGTAACGTCTTATTGCGAACCCGGGCATAAGGAAACCGGTATTTTTTCCAGTTTGAGTGACAAGCCAAGCAGTTATTAAGAATCTGTATGGAGAAGTCGCCATTTTAAAAAGCTAACTCTGCCGTTCTAAAGCTTCACCAACCGACTCCTCTAAATTCCAATTTTAACGGGGCGTTTCTGGAGACTGTTGCATAACAGATGTTCGTTACGGGATACCAAAAGCGTTTTGCGCGATCATGGCCTTCACTCGAAAGAAGGGTCATCTGCCATAGGCTCGTAGGTTATAAATACCCACGGAAGAATACTCGTACAATGGTCACGCAGGGCCCAGTGAAACTGAATGGTGCCAGGTGTTTTCAATAGCAGTCTTATTTGGCAAACAGCTCGGGCGCATCCTTTTGCTCTCTGAGTGAGTGCTTAACAGTATTTTCATACACATTAACTGAACCTGTATATTTGTCAAAAGGATGAAAAAAATTTTAATGGTAAAAAAAGGGAATTTTTGAGGCTAATTTGTGAAATCCGGAACGTTCAAAATAGTGGCGCTTACGTTAGCATTCCAATAATATAACAATGTCCATAATCCTATGCTACAATTATAGTACTGTGTACAACAATTCTTAAGGTGAATTTCCACTCACATTACACTATTTTAAATTATACAGGAATCGATAGAGAATTCATTTCTCTCTCTACTGATGTGGATTAAAAAGCTCGTGGTTGGTGCTTGATCAAAAATTATATAACTATGACGATACTTTTTTGATTCACTTTTTTTCTTTTTCGAAATTTTTATTTTTTCTGGCTTGTATGTTGCTGTATTCTGAATAGGGTACTGGAAGTATCTGCATTTATCTATGTAATGATATATTTCCTGCTCTATTTTATTATTTTAAAATTTAAAATCAAAAAAGCATGTTTTGTTGCTAATAAGACCTAATCTTGTTGATGCTAATCTTGGATGCTTTGCTCTTAATCAGCAAAAAACTTTCTCTTCGAATTAGAAGTTAACTATAGAAAGTAGCCCATAATATCTGGGCAGCTAGGACGTAGAAACGACAAAGAGACACTTAATTCGTACACACTCAACTTTTCTTAATGAAGTCTCAGTTTGAATTTGTTTAAAAAAAAAAGAGAGACAGACATGAAATTACTTGAACACCTTGCAGCTGTCAAGGACATAAATTAATAACGATGATTTTCGGGCTAGCAAACTGGACACGTGAAGCCTCCGGAATCGCATACCAACATGCTGTGATACTATTAATTGCTATTTGCTACATTCAAATCGAAATTTAGCGTTTTTATCCCGCCTTCGCTTGCCCAAAGAGCGTATGAGACCTTGTGTAGTGATTAATTGTACAGTCATAATCTTACGCCCTTAAAACGAAATTTTGTGAGCCTGAAACTTGTGCTGTGTTTGTGAACTGTGACGTCGGATAAAACCCATTAACGCTCAAGTAAACACTTGTGGTCGCAGTGGGCGCTCGACTAACCATATATTGCGTGCGAATGCTCTACCGTAACTTGTAAACCGTGTGGCACGTAGAGCAGTGGGCGAAACTTGGCTTTTATTAATTAAAATTCATTAATCTCTTAACGCATCAGGGACTTTGATCGATGAAGTTCCCACTACGAAAACCGTAACGACGCAACCGCTGAACAGAAGAAACAAAACTAAATTAAAGAAATCAGGGCGATCAGAATCAGCATCTTAAAAAATTCTGTCACATGGTTTTTGTGGTCAATGTAAATCTAATTAATTAACAATTTTAGGGAGAAAATTACAATGAACGGCTTAAAAGGTACAAGCATAGCAGTTGTAAAAGCGCTCATTCAATGCCTGCCCGTAGTATTGGCCATAGCCGCTGACTTCAGAACTTACTGCCGCGAATTCAGCTAAAGATACTGATGCTGTCTGTCCAAACTGTCAGTTAAAAACCGGATGAATTTCCTGTAAAAATTGAGGAGCAGGTATTGCACTGACATGGCGGCCGCCACAACTACAGTTCTTCATTGACAAATTAGAGTTGGTTCCTGTCCGATCTAAGATTTCGCTAAGCACAATTGTGGACGAGATCATAAAGGTAACGGTCTTTAACAGAACACCGTAGTTTAGGCATCAGTAATCACTAGTTTGACTTGACTACTTGCACTTCTACAGATATTTGATTCTTTTGTGGTTAATACCGTGCTTACCCCTGCAAGAAAATTGCGGCAAACATGAAAAAGGTCAACACCCTTGAATACTACAGGATGATCCCGAACCAGTGCTGCAAAGTTGCCCACATAGGATTCTACCTATCCCAAACCGAGAAATGGAGCCGTAAATGTTTCCAGGTTTTTTACCCGTTATTTTAATTTCAATACTAATTTAAATTCTAAAGTTAAGTAGCCAAAAAGATTACAGTGTGGCTTACCTGAAAGACAGCCATCTCAGAGCCAGTTTGTTTCTGGTCCAAAGCTTCATGTAACGCCAAACCGAGCGCTTCGGACTATAATCGCGATTACAGCCATAAAGCGGTTTTCGCTAATGTTCTACTACAGCTTTCTTTTTAACTCGAAAGCCTTAGCCTTTAAGTTATATGTCTGTTGATTTGTACATATACATAGATATACTTCTACAGAAGGTTTCGTAGCACTGTATGGCTTTGTGCACTCCAGCCATCAGTCCCAGGCAGCCGATGTACCCAGCCATCACCATCACGTTAAAATAATTCACCAAGTACGCAAAAAGAAATGCTTCTTCATTACCCACAATCGCAGCAATAAATCCACAAATTGCAAGCAGGTCCAGTCCGTAAATTGCAAACAGTGAATTGCCATATATGCTGTATTCAAGTTTGCAGAACAGCGTAAAACATCCAAATAACGCTGGAGTTCCATGTAAGAAATTGCTGTTTTTGACTTCGCCACTTCCTTGCGCTTTCCCCACGCTTGTTGGAACGATATCATCTTGCTCCACCACGGTAAACAGCACTGAATATCTTTTAAAGTAGTTTCTTTGAAAATCCGGGTATATAAAAGCGCACTGATATACACCTGCTGTGAGAGGAAATACGGAAAGGCGTTAAAAAGTGACCAGATAGTGATAAATAACCATGTCGGAATGCGTAAAGGCGTCCTACGGATAAGAAGCCGAACAATCGAAGACAGCGTTCTTGACAAGCAAAAATGGCAGCAACTTCCTTCTTATAATCGTGTGGTTTCTCCTTGTCTTTGTGCAGTTAAAATTCGCTAACTGAATTTCTTGACAGCTGTAGCATTTTCATATGGTGTATTATTTACTACACTTTACAGCTATCAAAACAAAAGCGTTATTGTATGCATATCAAAATACCAGGGAACGTTCGTGATCAGTACAGATACAGTAGTAAATACCGTACTACTGTAGAAAAGATAAACGATTATACAGAAGAATCGAGGTTGATATATAGCTGCGATATCGAATCATCGACTAGCGACGACCAGAGATACGTGCTGAACTAGCCTCCGCTAAATTACGCCTCCGCTAAATTACGATCCTCATATTTCGGCTACTATTTCTTTACTTCCGGATACTAATTGCGGCATCGACCAGATTGTGGTCGCACCGGGGTTACGTCAATAGGAACAAATCTCCATATATTCCTCGGCGCTTCACCTTGGTGTGGAATATTGGACATTGTCAGAGAGTACATATAAAATCATGGAATTTTTATTGTACGTATACGTAAACACTGGCGAATTCAGTGAACTCGCCGGAGTTGAAGGGCCACTAAGAACCAAGAAGCCAAAAAAGGGTTAACAGATTGCGGTAAAAACTATTAAAAATGTTTTACAAGAAAATGTAGTAAGGTTATAACTGCTTCAGCTAGATTTATTAAGCATGCTGCCGGGCCAAAACCTGCATCAAACGTCAAATTTTGCTCGGGACTTTAAGCCAGCAACCGTATTTACTCTGACTTGCTAAGACTTTCATTAATAATAATCGAAATATGACAAATTTCAGCGAGGGATTAAAGGGCCAGAAACAATTCCATATTATCATGCGAAGATTTTACAAAAAAAGTGCATTTTTGTGCCAAAATGACACGCGTCTTTGCTGCGGAAATTGCTAGACATTCTTTAAAAAATAGCTAATTTCTTTGGTTTAAGGCGCGATTTGGCGCACGATTTATCAATAAAAAAAGCAAAAGGACTTTTATTTTCTTGGCAAGTAAGTATTGATTCTGCTATGTCTGCCTAACTGTGCCTATATTTCGCGCAGCAACTGAAATTTATTTATTAAAGCCCATACATTGCCTATGGCAAAACAACCCACCAGCTACTGAACAATTTTACGGGCTTACGCTCAAGTGTTCACGTAAGCACTTCCGAAGTCAGCAAAGTTTCGGTGCAGACACGGACATGACAGTAGGAAAAACACTTCAGGTCCCAGTGTTACCAGAGAATTCCTGGATTACGTGCCGTCACGGTGCCTGGCTCGGATGGCGGCTAGTTCGTGGAAAATGCTGACGAATGTACAACACCGGCCAAGGACAGCGCTATAAAAAGCACTCACTGCATGTTCTTTCTCAATAGCGTGCTGTGGAGGAAGCACTTCGTTAACTAATAGTTTTGTGTTCTAAGAAAAATGTTCGGTGTTTTGTTACTGTGTTTAACTGCGCTGCTCTCGTTTCCAGCGGCCAACGGAGACGACGTAAAGTTCACCATTCCTGCAGGTCAGCCGGCCGGCATCCCGCAGTTCATTCGCATCGAAGAACCCTTTCCTGACGGAAAAAGCAACGCTGATAAACAGTACGACTCTATAGGCCTGGCCAACCCGGACATAATGGACCTATTCAAAGTTAATGATCTGCCACATGACAGACTCAAGCCGGGGGAGAAGAGGTGTCCCGTGGACGGCGATCCTCACTGCCGTAACTGCGTGGCAGGATACGCGGACAGTGACTTTGTGCAGTCGCAATGCTGTTTCGCCCATCACTGGGCCTGGATGAATAAACGTACCATCCGCGACGTCCTGCCGTACCGCTTCCATCTATCACCTGTGAACCAAACGGAACTCCCCAAGGATCGCTACCATACCTGTGGCGCGATATGGCAAGGTACGCACATCTCTCCGATACTTCCTTTCTCTCAGAGGCGATTTTATTTAGCACGTGTTTTCCATAATGACAATTGATTTCGTCGCAAGCTAACGCTTTTTATTTGTCGACCTTTTCCGGCGTTTAGGTTGATAACGTTTGTAATTAAATTTATTACAAAAAACTACAATTGTGCTTAATTGACTACGTACCACTTAAGTCACTTTTTTAAATTCAGTTTTGAAACACAACGCCCGTTGTGCCTTATACGGTAATTTTGCGAAAGTGATCAAGCACAGTTTGGGTGTTTTGTAGTTGATCCGTGCACGATGGAACCAGTGGCGACTATCCCTGATGGACCCTACATCCCGTGCCGCCAGCGCAACGCTTGTCCGCAAGTTAGACAAGATGGAACCATATGGTGACGCCCGTAGATTGTCACCCGATAGCCGCGTTACCAGATAAGAAGATTGGCATCGAAACTGTCATGGCCTGATTCTTGTAATAATTCTCAATTCGCCATTGGCCTTTCTACGTCTTTCTTTCTAATCGTTTTCGTTGCCATGCAATGCACTCTATTGTTACCGCAAAAAAATACTTATCGATGTTGATGCGTTTGTTAGCGGTTCGACCCCGAAAAGGTAGTCTTATGGCAATTACAGAATGGCCTACACAGTTATTTCATTTATTTGCGCCCATTGGCATCCCAGAGAAACGAAATTGATTTTTCCGAAGGCTCGGTGTCGGCCGGTTGAACTTCCGGGGGAGTGTACGGAATCTCGTGGCCGTTCGTTGTTAACACCGATGATAAATAAACTGGTTACACATAGGCTGACATAGCAGTCAAACACAACATTTTGCTTATACGTAATAACGACCGTTCTAATAATACTTCTAATAATACTTCTAAGGTATTTCCACACCCAATGCATCAAGTTTAAAAATTATGTTAGATCGCCTGAATTAGGAGTTAGTTTTCAAACTTTATCTGGTGCAATTTGAACGGTAGCCTTCGAAAGTTCATGCAAGTTTATATCACTCATTGGCATGTTGACTGTTTCAGCCCACCACATATATCAAACCATAGTGACTATCCAGACAGCCATTGCCCGCTTCTTACCACACTTGAGTGTGATCAGAATCTATTGTCTTTCGGTGTTTGCTTTGATTCCGCTGACCAGTGCTCTAGTTTATGGCTGGCAGTATAACAAAAGATGCGTATCCCGATTCTGTGCTCTCCATTGATTTCATCGCAGGTGCGCTAACTTGCATATGCGTTCGTAATGGTGAGCCGGGCCAGTCACTGCTAGCATCGTTACTCAGTTTAGGCAGCTAACTTAAAAAAATTATATTTCATAACCCTGGAATTTTATCACTTCAATGTTTTTACCATCGGATAGAGCAGTCTTCAATCTGTAAAGCGCCTTACTTCTGCAAAATGGCCTGTTATGAATAAAGCCGAACTAGCCATGGCCTTAAGCCAAGTAAAATGCTTGGTTCTACAATGTCTATCGAATGCAGCGCGCTTTGTTTGCCGTGTTGCCAGACCCGTGTTGTGCCATCCTCAACACTTTCAGCGAACTAGCCAGTAAACGCCTCGTTTACTAGAGTAGGAAACGCTTAATAGGAAACGCTTGCCGTAGATAATCTAGGGACTTTCTGCTAACCCCGCCAACTTGAAATGTTTTTCCTAAAGCTGTATCCGAGTCCGCACTAAGACTTTGCTGAGTAGGATAGTTCTCAAGTTAAACACTCTACCCTAAACAGAAGATTCGGCAAATGTGTGATGGATTGCTGGAAACTATCAGCAATAAAATAATTCGATTTCTGGAATCTTATAGTAGACCACGCGCCCACCGTCAGGCGGTTACTGCTTGTTGGGAGCCGAACATTCGGGAGAATCACTGTGAGCAGATAAAGGAATGGTAGGAATTACAGGACTGCCACTGTTTTTATCGCTGACAGGGACCAAAATTCCATCACCCGTTCAGCGTACTTACAGTTACAGGCACATGGACAAGTGTTCGAAGTATGCAATTTCACAGTCAGCAAATTTTCGGTGCGGACACGGACAAGACATCTGGAAAAACACTTCAAATTAGCAGAGTTATCAGAGAATTCCCAGGATTATGTGCGGCATACGAGCCCTGATCAGCAAAAAGAATAAGCTAAGTTGGCGGAAATACTGACGAAGGCAATAACACGCATGTAGCCGGCAAGAATGTTAACATGTTCACGGTTCACGGTGTGAGCATATTTGACGGGCGAAAGTGCTTGTGAGCATTTTTGACGGGCGAAATTGCTCACGAATGAAATCATGCGGGCTACATGTAGATTTTCCTGAAAAACGACTGAGACACCACATTTAAAAAAAGGATTGTAAAGATAAGTATCCGGTGCTGAAACTACAATTTCGCCGAAAGACAATTAAGGTAAGTGTCCCGGCAGTGGTACTACTCGTAAGTACATGTATATATACTTCTATATCTAGTAATCTATTGACATTCGATCCCTTTCGCGCACGACTCAACACTGATTTGCAATGTATTCAGTCAGGCAGTACCCAACTGACTTGTATTCCTACACTGGGTTAAACAACTAGACCCGTAACACTTTTTCCCATTTAAAAATGAATTTAAAAAATACATATCATTAAGGAAGTACGACGAAACAAGTTTTTATTCAGAATCATCTCTGTACATATTTATCCCCAGCGGTAAAATCGCAAGAAGACAAAGTAAAATTCTGTTTTCGGCACACAACCACCAGCTTAATTTTACTGTATTTTCACAAGTTTAAGGGACACGAAATTGCCCTAGGTCTGCTTGCAAGCACCCGGGGCGCGCAGCTACGTTCAAATTCGTTCACCTGCGTTTGCTAAGCATCGAAAATGCGCATGCCAGGTTGGCCCCATTAACTTTCGACCATCTCGCAAACCTTACTGTAAAATTTAAATCAAATGTTTTTTTATTGGATATCCACAAAATTATTTTACAAATTATTCCCATCACTGAACTCCAAATCACCAGATTCGTCTAAATTTAACTGACAACTCATATCGAGAGAACTTTCATCGTTAGGGCCAGCTGTCTCGGTTGGGTCCATGTTTTCATCGTTCGGTTTGTTCTCAGGCTTTTCGATTATTTTTGCTGCAGCAAAGGAATTAATAATAGTTTCTGGTTTCACCTTTTCCCATGCCACGGATACGAAATTTAGGATATCCTGACGGGTAGGATTTTTCAGATACCCCGACTTCGTAGTTTCGTGGTGCTGCTTTCGCCAATATCGGTATTCGTCCTGATAATATTGCTTAAATGGCTTGTTAACACCGACGTCTAGAGGCTGATGGTACCCTGTCATAGCCACAGGAATAAACACTTGGCGAATATTTCTCTCTTCGAGAAGAGCCGCCGATGATTGCATTTTATGCACAGAAAACTGATCGCGCACCAACACTTTTGGATATCCAGCAATTTCAAACGTTTCAGTAATCCATTTATGGTCCAGCTGCTCATTCCACCAAGATGATTTTGAGCTCATAACCTGCACATTTTTCGGGATGACCAACTGTTGCATTATCCGTTCGGAAAGAACCCCGGTTTTTGGATTGCCTTTAAAGACAATTATTGCAGGCAGTTTTTCTCCGTTTCCAGCCACCGTCAAACTGATCGTAAACCCGTCTTTCTCTCCAGCCGCCGTCACTACAGAAACTTGCTTCGCTCCTGCTTGGTTGATAGTTCTTATTTTTGAGGGGACGTACTTGACGTTAGTTTGGTCAAAATTCAAAATGTCTTTTGCGGGCGTTTGCTGGATATCCACAATTTCAACGAGCTCTTCGAAAAACCGCTCTTGATCTTCCTGCAGTTTAATTTAAAAATCAGTTCTTAATTCACAATTTTTATTGTGTGTTTGCTTTTGTGTTAAATTGAGATAGATTTTAATTAGACGGCAACGTACAAGATCTTTTTCAGAAAATTCTTCTTTCCGCGACGTGTGCGTTACTGCGCGTGAAGACAGGTTATTCCTAGACATAAATTTGGATATCCAGCCTGTAGATGCGTTGAAATCCAAAATCCCAGACTCCTTTGCAATTTCTAACGCTTGATTTCGAAGATCGTTGCGAGTTACAGGATACCCTTTCTGGCGTTCGTCGTCTACCCATTCTCGTAAATCTTCCTCCAGCTTGGGATATTTGGCCTGCTTTTCTGGTCCCCTCTTACGTGGTTTCGCATCGGTTTCTCTAATCGACGGACTTATATCAATGATAAATTTAAACTGAATATTTCAGAAATTGTCCAGTAAATAATACCAATTTTAGGTAATTCATCACTTACTCGTTGGATATCCATCTGCTCATGCACGTTTTTGGAATATTTTTTTTCCGACAGAACTCTCGAAGGGACACTTTGCTAGTGCGATAGCTTCTCAAAAAATACTTGATCTCCCAGTCAAGATAAGATCTGCGGTGCGATTTTTCCATGACACACGCATAAACACTGGATTTCAGTAAATCATAACGGAGTAACTTGAAAATTAGTTATTGTTAAATGGTGATATTGCTGATTTTAATGATTTTAAAATTTTAATTGAATTAACCGCCAGTCAGCTGTTCGTGAACCGATCTGAACGTAGCTGCGCGCCCCGGGTGCTTGCAAGCAGACCTAGGGCAATTTCGTGTCCCTTAAACTTGTGAAAATACAGTACTTATACAGTAACTTACATTTTCTGTATCTGAGCAAGCGGATATCGCGCGCACAGAGGGTTTTGAGACCCCTATGTACATCATTTGGTTGTAGAATAGTTTTATTACGGTGCAGGTAACCCGTATACGTATACCGGTCATGATTTATATACGCTCCATGGGAATTTACATTGTACAAGCCCGTCCGGAGTTAGAGCACGATAGAGAACAGCGAACAGTGTAAATTCATGGGTTACGCCAAACAGCATACTACGCCACGACACGCCACACTCTTTAAACACGTAACATGCTTTTGGCTGGCTGGTGGCATTGGTGCACGCCATATATTTTAATGAGCATAATCGTAATTGCCAGGCGGAAGATGGCTAAAAAATAGTCGGTGCAGTAAGGGACAATCTAACTGCAGAGTGCATTTACGCATTGTGGTAGACGTAGTGTAGTGGCCATCGTGCTAAGCGCTAACACTGCGCTTATTATGCATTAGCTGTTCTCTATCGTGCTCTAACTTCGGACGGGCTTGTACACCTGGCCACGTTTATACGAAGTACTAGTTTCTTTCATTCTCATATGAATCCATACCTAATATGCAGCACAGCGCAAAGCGGAGTATATATATGGAACCCACTGCAGTTTGATCTCTGTAGTCTTCACCACTGTATTGTACTTACAACACATAAAACAGATGTTGTAGTTTTTACTTAGAATAACCGATAAATAACGCACAGATTTTCAGATATGTTTAAGCATTGCCCACTTTTTTTCCTTGTACATCGTATTTGTGAGTACAAACGCCCGGCAGGGATGCTCACGATGGAAGATCTCTGCAGTAATCGGATACCGCTAGCATTTGCCGCTCTCGTATGCCGATCAGACGCGCTCTTACTCCGCATGGAGGCAGGCAGGCGGTTCATGTTACACTCGTGAACATGGGAGCCGGGCAGGGATGTTCACGTTTGTGAGCACGCGTGCCGGGCGAGGATGTTCACGCTTGTAGTTGCACGGCAATCGGTAAAAGAACGGTAATATAAACCGCTCTCATCAAAAACTGATAAAAAGCGTTTTTTCTTTGTTGGGGCCGATCCTCGTATTTCGTTATCTGTGTAATACGTACATAGCACGTACAAATCTGCATTAAGTTTATAAACTTGTGCGCCGGGCGGCGATGCACATGTTTATTTATGTTAACTTTTCGAGCTGCAAAATGTATTTCCAGATTTTTATTTATCAAAGGATTAAGATGAATAAATAGCGAAACGGGATTTTTCGGCTTATACCGGGTGGCTGAACGAAATGGCCGTTTAATTTTTCAAGGTGTGATGAGTCTAATGTGTAATCTAATGTCTGATTGGCAACATGTTGATTTTATTCGAAAGATTAGTCTTTGCCACACACAAAAGCTAAATTAAACTAGCCTTACATAAAGGTCAAACTTTACCGTAAATTATTTTGGAAAAGTAGGTGGAGTTTGGGGATGTTCGGAAACAAATTTTCAAATTTCCCTATTTCTTAATAAAAAATTGCTGTTAATCAGTTAAGTTGATGGCAGTATTTTGCATTACAGTTTTTGTTAGCGAAATTCTTTCCTGTTTTATTGCTGTTAACAGTTTTGACTTTCTGGTGATTGCGTTCGACAAAGAGACGGCTGAACTGAGGCCACGCACAAGAAATTCTCGTAAAACTGGCAAGTAGAGAGCTTAAAAATTAATTCCGTTCTAATGCAAGAAGTACTGAACTGCACCCAACTAGTTTCTGCTAGGGCAAGGCCTTAGCTACATATTTCACAAAAGCCGACTTGCCTGTTGCACTCCGTCAGGCAGCAAAAAAATTGTAGCAAAAATGCCTAAAAAAATCAGGTTATACAAGTCCATTTTTTTTCGAAAAGTAACGAAATGCGCTAACGGTATAGCGCATCCGGAGCTAGCACCAAGTCGACAATTTTCTTTAAATTTAAGAAGGGCTTGCTCTAAATAAAACAGTTAATTAAAAAAGGTCAAAGAGCTTGTGCGGAAAAGAAATGGCAACAGTGCCGCCTTGGCCTGATATGTGTAAGATTTAGGAATAGAATATACTGTGTACAAACCTTAAAAAGTTATTGGACCATCGTAGTGAATTATCGTTGCTATGCAAACTTTGTTCAGTTTGTTGCACTATATTTGGTTAATCCTTTATTATCTCGGTTCATTTTAGATGCGACACCAGTATGCAATGGGCACCGTGAACCCCGGGAATTTTCACGCTAACATACCGTAAAATCTCGAATCAGAAGCCCACGACCAAATTTAATTAAATTAAGGCATGCGGGGGCTCGGTGTTTACGCCAATGTACGTATACAAATCATTTAGCTTGATAGTTTATAAAACAATGCACAATTACCGTGTTTGGGAGTGCGGAAAATCGAACGTTTTAGCACATGTATCATGTACCTTGTGCCGGCACACTTCCCTTAACTGCAGTTGTGTATTAGCACACATCCCATCTTTAGTAAAAAGTTTTCTTCGATGCTAGCCAAAGTCATCATGGCATAGTATTTACAGCCAATTATGTTTCATAATTTCTTAAAGCTTAATACTCAACGAAGTAAACTATTCGTCTTTACAAACGCAAACATACTCGTCCGGCACACGTGTTCACGAATTCAGCGTAGGTAGAAATGCCGCAAAATATAAAGCATTCAGCGGCAGAGGTTAATGACATAAATTAACGCATCTTCAAATATCTGATAACGAGAGCAGCTCATGCTCATGTCAGCAGTGTCCGATTACCATACCGTTATAATCGTGAGCATTCCCGCCCGGCACGCGTGCTCACAAACGTTAACATCCCTGCCCGGCTCCCATGTTCACGATCGCAGTGGAGTATTATTGTTCGTTCGCATACTGGCATCCGTCGAATTGCAAAAAACCACACCGGCAGTTCTTGGAAATACAATTTTAAAAAATATAATTATACTAATGTTTGTAAGCATTTTAATATGCTGTAGAGTGTGGGCAATCGCAATAAGTATTCAAGTATAATAAGTACTTATACTTGAAGTGCACGCTTCACACTTGCTCCAAAGTTTTACAGCCATAGGTTCTCTGTAAAGGTAATTAAAGCCCCTTCCCAACTGCACGTTCATTGCAGCCCACAACAGAAATTCGCGGCCTGACTTTGCTGGAATATTTGCAGGGGGAGTAAATTTCGATTTTGCACCTAAAGCTAAACCACTTTTGTGGTTACAGTATATCAGGTTTTTTAACAGAATTATAGGGAGCAACAGACACAGAATGAGGAGAGTGACCAGTTGTTTGAAATGAATTGTGAAACTGACCTGTTGCTGGTGTATTTGATTATGAAATTAGGCAACTGTAAGCCGATAAGTCAGCTAGTTACAGTACACCTCACAGACTGATTTCGCTGTTTCATATGTATGTACTAAACACCAAAGATCACGCAGGGGCTATTTAGTTAAGGTATGAGGGCATCTGAATTATGAATATAATTCTGAATTATGATTGAACCGGTATAGAGCATCGAAGTTCTAAATTAAAACGGGCTTGTTACCACTATTGCTAAGTTTTGTTAAGTGTTATGAAATTTTCTAGATTTATTTACATGGCTAAAAAATGTTGATATCCCCGCCCGGCGCCGATGTTCACGACCATAAAGCAGACTGCCACTCAGAGACGGCCGATTTATTCCTCTGATCTGATTGCAAGTGTGGCTTGCATCAGCGGTATCCGATTACCGCCCAATAGCTAACGTGTTCATCACTGCCCGGCACCATTCACTAAATTAACGTCTATTTTGTTCTGCTCGCCAAGCAACCTACCGCAGTAAAGAATCAATTTAATATTATTCAGAAATAAACAGTGTGGGTATTGTACAAGACGGACTGCCGGACAGGGAATCTTCTGCCAAATACAATGCCATCTTCATCATATCTGTGTAGTCCTGCTCCAACCATACAGAATCGCTTAAAACTTCATGATAAAAGTCGCTGAAGTTTAGGAAAGACTGGTTTTTATGAGATCAACGTTTTATTTCCTCGTATATTATTAATGCCATCCTTTGCGTACTGAGAATACAGGAACATAAAACATTTAATTTCAAACCGGATGCAGAGAAAATCAACACGTGACATGCATGATTTCATTCGTGAGCATTTTTGCCCGGCAAATATGCTCACACCGTGAACCATGAACATGTTAACATTCTTGCCGGCTACACACGCACAGCCATACGGCATAAAAAGCGCTCCGCATGCTCCACAGCTCACTGGAAGCGAAGCATACATTACGCGTGACCACTTACCCGTTTTAAAATGTTCGGTAATTTACTGCTGTGTGCAATCGGCTTGGTATTGTTTTCAGCTGTCAACAGTGACGACATCCCGTACAGCATCCCGGCAGGTCAGCCAGCCGGCACCGTGCAGTACGTCCTCATCGAAAAGCCCTGGCTGGCTGGTGTAAGCAACTTTGAGCAGTGGATGGATTCTCACCTCCTTACTTTTGGCTCTCCGAAGGAAATGAATGACGACACTCTCCAGCCGGGGGAGAAGAGGTGCCCCGTGGATGGCGACCCTCACTGCCGAGATTGCGTGGCAGGTTACAAGAGCAGCGACCTTGTGCAGTCGCAGTGCTGCTTTGCCCACCACTGGGCGTGGAAGAATCAGCGCAGCATTCGCGACGTTCTGCCGTACCGCTTCCATCTGGCACCGGTGAAACAAACGGAACCCCCGAGTACCGTGATAAATACGCAAAGGCTGACGACATATGGCAAGGTAAACTAATCTTTCCGACAACCCATTTCTCTGCGAGGCGATAATTATTATGTAGCACGAGTTTTTCCTGTCAGTCTCTTAAGTCGAAATTCTTTCCATTATCACAAGTTTCTGTAGCAAGCTGACACGTTTTATTTATCGGAATTCACTTTCGCGGTGTTTTGCTCGATAATGCTAATCATGATTTAAAATTAGCTTAACAAATTTCAGTTGTGTCTCATTCACTTCACTTCAGTTTGGATTTGGCCTGGAACATGGTAATGATGGTAACACATTCGTGTACATGCACGAAAACTCCCACTTTCGCGCATATGAAAGTTTTCGTGCATGTTGCATAAACAGGATTTTTGTACCATGTACCGGGCCAAGTCCCTAACAATTGTGAACCATTCTCTCTCTAAATTCGATTTTAAAGCAGAACATCTGTTGTGTCGTATACGGTAATGTATAGTGCGAAAGCAACCAAGTACAGCTTTGGGTGTTGTGTAGCCGATGTGTGCACGATGGAGCCAGTTGCGACTATCCCTGATGGACCCTACATCCCGTGCCGTCAGCGCAACGCTTGCCCGAAAGTTAGACGAGATGGAACCATATATTAACGTTTGTACGCTGCCACCCGATAGCCGCACCTACTACGTAGGGAGGGACAACGAAACTGTTATGGCTTGGCTCGGTAGGGTAATTTTCAATTCGGCATTGATCTGGCTACTTCTTTCATCTGATCCTATTTAACCTTGACATGCACTGTGCTGTGCTTATAGCGCTACTATACAGGAGATTTGGCAACCACACTGCTACTGTATGATTGTGCCCTGACAGCCTTGTTATACTTGTAGTACTAGTTTAAATGTAAGCTTTGTTATATTTCTTCCTTCTTTGGTGGCTTAACTATTCTTTTCATGCAGTGTTCTTTATTGTGCATACGCTGTTTTTAATGATCCCCTAATCTTTGGTGCATAATGTACAGCACGGTTCAGAGGGCGATTCACGAACAAAAGCGCGCAATGGCTTTAAAATGAGAATGACGCATTGTATTTTTCGCTATTCAGTTTACGCAAATAACCGGTCGATTTACTAACCGTGGAACATGGGCGATTCACGAACCTTTCTCGTACACCATTGTTATATATGTTTCACTTATTACAAGAATCAACGTTAATGTCGCTACGCGATGAACGTTCATTTATCAACAATTATCGACAGTTTACTTATGTCTAGGGTTTTTATGACTTAGTGCTACCAAAGTTATGATTCAAACTGATCAAAAACTATTCGAAATTAGCTGAAGTGTGGTCAACTGGGAAACAAACTCCATCTCCGTAATGTTGCCGTCCCTTAGTTTGAAAGTAGCTAGGAAGATTTTGGTTGTGATGTCCAGATACATTTGCCAACGGGGATTTGACCGCGGAAAAGTCGTTTGGCGCGTGAGATAGTGCACGATAAACTACCGCCGGCTGATTACGCTTTGTCCATGTTACCGGAAATCTGTACAGTGTAACAGGTAACCACGCGTACGTTATACGGGTGCATTCACAATTTGTATACATGGCCTACAGTGCCGTACCACCCACACGTATAAATTTCCTTCAAAACCGGGTTAGTGTATACTGTGTACCCACTGTGTTGTACCAGTACAAACATAAATACAAAGCCATTTAAATTTTATTTTATAGAGCCCCAAAGACATTCTTTTGCGTGGGGTGCGAAGCCTTCGAACAGTTTTAGCGCGGTAAGTGCTAGAAATTCGGCTAAAATAGCAATCGGTTCCTGCTTTGGAATGCCGGTACACGTTTTAGGCAAATCTCCACCTATCCTTGTATGGAGTCCCTACTTTTGGAAAATTCCGGGAGGTAGGTGTGGGTGTCGTTGCGCTTTAAACATTCAACCGGACGTATGTTCAGCCAACTTTCAAGGAATAGATGATAGGCAGTATACTTAGGCTAATACTTTAGCGCTGAGACTGTCAGGCAATCCACCACCCACTCCAAAATTTTCCGGCTTTACCAACGAATTCTCAACGTAGGCACTTCCTGAGTCAGCAAAGTTTCGGTGCAGACACGGTTGTGGCAGTAGGGAAAACAAATTCAGTTGCAGTTTTGTGAAGAGATTCCGTGCGGTACACTGGTACACGGTACTTGGAACTGGTGGCGGCAGTGTCGTAAAAAGTGCCCAAGAAAGCACAACAAATGCCACTCGGCCGCGAATTGCGGTATAAAAAATATTCACTGCACTTGCGTGCTTTAGAAAGCGCTAAAAGAAGCATTCGGTTATAAAAAAATTCCGTATTCTAACCATAAGAAATATGTTTGGTATTTGGATGTACTTGTGTTTGACTGGACTGCTATTGTTTGCGGCAGTCAACGGCGACTACATTAAGTACACCGTCCCGGATGGGCAGCCGGACGGCACCGTGCCATACGTCCGTATCGAAGAGCCCCATCCACATGGAGAAAGCAACGCTGACCAGCAGACCTTAGCCCTTAATTGGGGCAACCTTGGCAATGAACGCTCAATATATGATGACACCCTCAGGCCGGGAGAGAAGAGATGCCCCGTAGACGGCGACCCTCACTGCCGGGATTGCGTGCCAGGATACAAGGCCAGCGACTTTGTGCAGACGCAGTGCTGCTTCGCCCACCACTGGGGCCTCGCACCCGGACAATTGGTAGTGTGACATTTCGCCGCACTTAAACTCGACGTGCGACTTTTCGCCGCGAAGACATTTCGCCGCCGGACATTCGGACGTTGGGACACTTCGGTTTGTGACAATATGCTTCGAGACATTTTAACTTTGCGACATTTCGACGCAAGACGTCTGGTCGCGGACAATTCGTCTTGGGACTTTTCGAACGATGCGACAAATAATTCACCGCGCTTAATTCTCACTAGTTTTTAAGTTTTTTTAGGCTTAGTCTTAGTTTTTCCTAGGTTTTCTTAGTCTTTCTCAGGCCTTTTTAGGTCTTCTTATGCTTTCTTTGGTTTCTTAGGTTTCGTAGGTTTTGTTAGGTTTCTTAGGTTTCTTAGGTTTCTAAGGTTTCTTTAGTTTTTTAGGTTTCTTAGGTTGTTCGTTTGGTTTTGTTTTGTAGTTTTCCCTTTTCTTACTCTTTTAGTGGCTTAGTAAATCATTTATTTGATAGGCGAAATGCCGTTCGTCAAGATATCCTTGCGGCGAAATTTCTGTTCGTCGAAGCGTCCATGCGACGGAAAGTCTAGCGTCGTAAAGTCCTACCGACGAAATGTCCTACGACGAAACGTCGCGCGGCGAGATGGCCGTGCGGTGAAATGTCTGCGACCAATAGTCCTGCGACTAGTTGTCCGCGGCGAGATGTCGCGGTGCCCTGGGCCTGGATGAATGAAGGCCACCTTCGCAACGCTCTGCCGTACCGCTTCCATCTGGCACCGGTAAATCAAACCGAACCCCCCGAGGATCATGGTAAATACGCGAAAGCTGACGACATAATATTATGGCAAGGTAAGCAAACCTTGTCGATATTCCACTCTCTTGACAAGGCGATAATGTTGCACGAGTTTTCATGCTGAATTGCTCTTATCCTGCTGAATCTGAACTGCTTTCTATAATCACACGAGATATTTTCCGCACCTGCAACAGCCAAACATTTTGATTTTGGGAATTCAAGGACCTTCAGTGTTTTTTGGTCGATACTAGTAGTGCTAATTGCTAATTATGGTAAGAACTAAGAAGTGCTACTTTCTATCGCTTGCTTGTTCAACATGCATGACAGGCAGAGCATTTACTTTGCCGCAAAATTTACATTGCGTCAGTAGTTTTGGTTTTACGTAGTGGATCCGTGCACGATGGAGCCAGTTGCGACTCTTCCGAAGGAAGGCTACATCCCTTGCCGCCAGCGAAACGCTTGTCCGCGAGTTAATAACGAAACAGGGGTCATAGAGTGACGTCTGTACAGTGGCATTCGGATTCGCCGTTACTGGATAGAAAGACTTGGAAATGACACTGTTATGGCTGTAGCTCGTGAAATGAATTTTTGATTTGATCTTTTTTTGCTTCTTCCTTCTTTCGTACAAGTATGTTATCTAATCTTTTCGTGCAATGTCCTGTATTTCGTATTACCGCGAACAAATTCTTGTCGATATTGATGTATGGGTAAACAGCCCGACCAATATGAAAATAACGGAAATGTATGCTCTAGAAGTATATAGTCCTTTGGTGGGCCCCCAACCGAACCCGGTGACCGAAGTACAGAACGACATGCGCGCAACGTGTGCACCTCCGTATGTGCTCACAGACGGCAACACCAAACGCTTTATTTGAACACAAAAAAGGCTCGACCTCGATGGGCGTAGAACGCTTGTGCATCTGGTGAGCGCTAACGTTGCAAATTGAAGAAAAAGCTGATTTCTACCTGCCCACCGGTGTGTCAGGCAACAGAACTCAATGTAATCATGCATTGCATTGTCTGTTGTAATTTTGCAAAATACGACTTTCGGTATTGGCGTCTGTAAACGTCCTAAAAATTTTGTTGTGCTGGCCCACTATATGGTGATCCCCCGGTGACTACGTTACTGCAGCAGATATTAAAAGTGATTATGCGGGCACGCTGCAAGGTCATCCGGATACAGGAGCATAAGTGTAAACGGGAAAAATAAAATTTTAGGGCCTGAACTATTGTACAAACTACCGCACGTTGCGCTAGCATCAAGCGCGTGCATCAAGATGACAGCACGGGTGCCAAAAATTAAACTTAGTAAACAAACTTAGATACTAATAGTTGGCTTTTATAAGCTGTGATAACATAACTTAACGTTTTAAATTACCTTGGATTGGTGGTGGATTTTGTAACGGTTAGTAAAGTTATCTGTTGCCCTCCCACTACGGTAATTATTATTTACGCAGTCCATTTATTTCGCGGGTACACTTACGCTCTTGTTTCCAGATGGGCTTGTACATCCTGCACAACAATTTCCGCAGTTCATGACACATTACGTAGGGTCAGGAGTAGATAAAATGGAAAACACACGCCCCAATGCTTTTGTGAAAACGTAAGAAACACCGCGGTACAAAAGTGATTAAATATGCAAAGGGTCAACAATGTTGATGTTTAAAGAAAAATCTGCAGACCACTATCCAGTCATGTCAGGCATACAGCCGCATACTGAATGGGCGGTTAAGTTTCGGTTCCAGGCAGATCTACGGCTGCGTTTCACGCTTATTGGCTGCCTGAATAAGCACCACCTGGAAAGCAACCACAACTATTAAAGTGCTAATTTGCCGAACAAGGGAAAATTTAATACTTATATAAAAAATAGTACGAGAAAAATTAAATAAATCAAGAAATTTTGGTTCCAGAAGATTCGAAAATACTAACTCAATCGGTACATACGACCGATGATGGAAGCTGGCAGCACTGGCACCTAGTAACTAATTTACCGATCCATTCGACGTAGCCGTAGCCGAAGCCGCGTCCGATCACTTCGGCCGCGTTACATTTCGGCCGCATGCGTTCATTTCGGCCAACGTTCATTTCGGCCGAGGCTCACTTCGGCCAGCACTCATTTCGGCCGCCGCTCATTTCGGCAACAGGACATTTGGCCATCTTCAGTTTCCCAAGTTTTCCTAATTCTCGCTATCTTGCTTCGGTTTTCTCAGGTTTTTTAAGTTTTCCAGATTATTATTTTAGGTTTCTTAGGTTTCTCAAGTTCTTAGGGTTTCTTAGATTTCTTAGGGTTCTTAGGTTTTCTTAGGTTTCTTATGGTTTTTTTAGTTTTGTTATGTATTCTTAGGTTATTCTTAGGTTTCTTAGGTTTTCTTAGGTTATTCTTCGGTTATTTCTTAAGTTATTGTTAGGTTATTTTTAGGTTATTCGAAAATCTATGGTACCATTTAATCATAGTAACATCAAAAGTAACGTTTTCTTGCCCAGATTAGACCAAAATAAGCGTCGGCCGAAATGAGCTGCGGCCGAAGTGAGCCTCGGCCGAAATGAACGGCGGCCGAAAAAGTTTGACCGAAATGAACACGGCCGAAATGATAACGGCCGAAGTGATCGGTAGCCCGACGAAGCACACTGACCTCATCCATTTACTCACGGATAAATCGAGGAAAGTAAGCAATATTTACTTGTGCTTACCAACTCTACGTAATTCTGTTTTCGTAGCACTGTGTCCAAACAACAGTGCAGCAGGTTCTCTTCCAGGAGTTTGCCAGCGTCTGTGTATTACACAAGAGCAATGTAAAAGAAAGCCATATCACGAATGCAACCTTATCTATCCACTGTTTGCGATTTCCTCGCCCATGTCCACCACCGTTGCCAGCGAAATGCGCATTAAAAAACAAATATTAACTAATCACGTCCAGTTCAATTTTCACCTGCACATGCAACGAATTTCTGGTACATCCTCAGAAGGTCGGAGTGCGTCTCGTCAGCTTCCGGGATTTGCACGGCACTCAGTGAAGCAGCGGCTCCGATGGCCCCATGGAACGCTGCTGTCGCCGTACTCACCCACACGGAGCGCTGTGCTGCCGCGCGATCAAACTCTGAGAAAGGCAAATTGTCATTTAGCAGTTTGGTACTGTACAAGTACATACTGTTATGTGGTACTGTACAAGTACATCCTGCACTTGTCCATTTGTTCGCAGTGCAGGTGCACGTACGTTGTACGAATCAGTTCAGGATTCACATACACGGCCTGCAATTGCGTGCCGACTGCACACTGCACAGTACTGACCAACCTGAATCGCGTTGGTGACTTCCCCGCGCACGGCTCCCAACACAGGGAGCCACCCCGACGAGAATCGTCAACTGGCTTAAGTCGCTTAACTCGCACATGGCCACAGTACGTACTGCTCACCCCTTACAAAAGTCTGGTCAAGTGCAGGGTACCAGTACGGCATAATAACGAATTAAATATATCTTCGTGCGACGGGGAGATGCCCTTTTACAGCAGTGGACAATACAACAATCCATAGTGCAATTAGGAGCATGGAAAAGCGGGCGAAATAATATCTTTGAACGTTATCACAGACAGTTGAACTGTTAGCCGCATAAGTTATCTCGGGACAAGGCTGATGATTCTGCAAATTGTAGTGCAGTGGCCATGCGCCATGATTGTGTGACCGATCTCGAAAAAAACGGTGATTTTTAAATAGCACTTTTTCTTTGTTTTCTCACCAGTTTTTTTAGTTAGCTAGCACCTAGCCGGCAATCAGCCCAATAATATCTGGTGCTTCACAATGTGACAAATCGATTATACACAGAAAAAGCCAAATACTGTAGGTAACCGAATATATAGAGTACAGTACTTGAAACATTACAAAGCACAGTGCCCGGGACAGGGTGATATCATTTTCACCTGTGACGCCGATGCAGAAATTGATTGAAAATTGCCAAAAGTTACCAGCACACGATATACCACCATGGGAACCCGGGCTTTCTAGGAAGCCCCGCTTGTGCAGGTCTTCCAAGCCGCTGCACCCAGTGCACTGCACACATCCTGATCCTAGCACCTACCGTTCTGAGCCAGCTGGCGCATATCAGCGAAGTGGCGGCCTTGGTCGGCTGCGGACTGCTGGACCAGCTCCTGCACGTCGGGACGAACGTGAAGTGTGGCGGTGGTGCCTGTCCGAACGGCAGTTCGAGTTTCGTTACAATATGCTTTCATCTCTGCCTGGTAGGATCGTTCCGTAATTATTCTGGCACGGGTATTGCGCACGTACTCTGCAGAGCAGTCACCAAGCAATCATCGTGCATAAATAATGACAGTCTAATGATAAAGTGGCTAAACTGGTGATATTAAAACGCTCTATGCACGACCAAAGTGATTAGGAAGGCATGCACCAATTGTCAGTTAACTCACGCGAGCCTGATCTCATGCAGTCGCACAGAACTGCAACCTGGGTTTTGATTTCGAGCAGCAGGTCAATCGTGCCATTTCTTTGGGAGAGGCTGCATGATGCTGCCATGTTTTCTGCGCTACACGTTCTACACCAGATCGTCCTAGGCTGAGATCTTCGTTGGTCGCACTCGCACCTGTCCAACAGAGTCTAACCAAATTCACAAAAGACTTCAAAGAAACTGAGGAAAATTATCATGTACTGCTAATCAGGTATCCGCAATTTCGGAAATTTGTATGGCGCATGCTGATCCCAAAGTGAAACATTAGAAAGTCATTACGATTTAGACTTATTTAGTCGACTCGAAAGTCAAAATTCTACAAGTAGTGCCAGGCGCTAGACTCTAGTAGTAGAAGTACAGTAACCGTAGAAGACTAAAAACCCCGGACCCATGAGGCGGTTGTCCATAGACCTCTATGCTAAACGAAATTCCTTAAAATCGTGAAATAATCGTTTCTTTCAAACGTTTTTACTTATGATCTTTTCGGTTTCAAACATTTTTTCTGAATTTTAGAAGCTATGGCACGCACGGATTGCATGAATTTGATTCCGTAACTCCCGAATCGGTTGTTAAGCGCACAAAAGGTTTTCACGCCTATGTATACAAATCATATGGCTGAAGAATGTGATTGTGAGGAGGAGTGGCCTCTCCGTTCACCCGCGCACAGGCGGCTGCTAGGTTGTTTTGCTGTTTTTGCCATGTTTTTCTCCATCTACCAGATTCTAAATCTGGTAGATTCTTTAGTTGCCAGAATTCGTCGTCTGAGCTGGATGCTTTTTCCTTTTTGCCCCGCAGCAAGGTGTGGCCTTTGATGTGTTGTATGAGAGAGAGATAAAGTGTGCAGTGTGTTGGCGTTCAGTTTCCGTTTCTGTTCGCGCACAGGGGTGAACTAGCCGTTCATCGGACTTCATCCCCTGTTAGATGATGAAACTCAAACAAAGCAAGGAAGTGTTTACGGTGCAGCGATACTGGTCCGATATTGAAAGTTTTCGTGCATGTGCTTTATACAAATGTGGTACCATATACCGGGTCAAATCCCTTAGTCGACGTCTTTTCCGGTAGTGTTTTTACTGCTACCACACACCAATTACAATGAGAATGTATACGCTGTAACGACACGGTACACTGTGTGAAAAAAATCAGACAAGCTACGAAATACAGAACACAGAAAGAAAAAAGCATACGGAAGAAACAAAGGCCATAAGAAAAGAAGCATGACAAAGGTTAATTGGTGATAAAAATTGCTATAAAATGTCCCGATCCAAAACAGTGTCTTTTTTTCTCGAACTAGGGTAGTAACTGAGGGTTCCCCGTACCAACGTACAGAAGTCAGTATATGGTCCCATCTCCTCTAACTTTCGGACAAGCGTTGCGCTGGCGGCAAGGGATGTAGCCTCCTTCTGGAATGGTGGCAATTGGCTCCGTAGTGCACGGATCCTCTACATTGCACCCAAACTTTACTTGATTGATTTCGTAGTAAAAAATTACACGCGCAACGGATGTTTCTGCAGGATGATATGCAGATCAAAAATACATTAGCAAACTCCGCTTACTCAACCCATGTATTACCGCATACAGAATCAAAGTTAAAAATAATACTAATCTCGGAATAAATTAGGGCACGATTGATGTTCGTAATTGTATGAATATTTTGTGTCATAATTAAACATTATAGACCAAAGCGCAGCAGAGTCCCTTGCGTTCCGACTGATAGATAATTATTACAGAAGCGGAAAAATAATAATTATTGTGGTTACATTTGCAGGAAACTCAAGCGACATGATACTGCCCCCTTAGAAAGCGGAATATCGGAATTCGGAAGTGGGTACGTACCGTGCCATATGTCGCCAGTTATCGCGTATTTATCACGATATTCGGGGGGTTCTGTTTGGTTCACGGGTGACAGATGGAAGCGGTACGGCAGAACGTCGCGGATTGGACGGTTATTCATCCAGGCCCAGTGGTGGGCGAAGCAGCACTGCGACTGCACAAAGTCGCTGGCCTTGTATCCCGCCACGCAGTCACGGCAGTGAGGATCGCCGTCCACGGGGCACCTCTTCTCTCCCGGCTTGAGAGTGTCATCATACACTGAGGCGACTATTCGCGATCCTTGTCCTAACCCTATGCCGAGCCCGGGAAGATGGTCGAACTGGTGCTGTTTGTTGCTTCCACCATTCGGATAGGGTTTTTCGATGCGGACGTACTGCGCGAAGCCGTCTGGTTGACCTGCCGGAATGGTGTACGGGATGTCGTCGCCGTTGGCTACTGCAAGCCATGCCAAGCTGATTACGCACAGCCACAAAACACCAAGCATTTTGATCATAACGAGGAATGATATAAGTGTATTGGAAAGCTTCTCTTCTAAGTTCTAACGTGCTGTGGAGAATGTAATTACAGCGAGCGTTTTTTATATCGAAATTCTTGACGCTTGTTGTGCATTCCCTGCCGGAAAAAAAATCTGCCGCTAAAACGAAGAAGTTCTGCGAGAGAACTCCGTGAACATCTTTCTACATAGGTAATTAGGGACGCACTAGGGGAATATTGCGTACAGCGCCTGCTCGTACAAGCTCGGGCTGTTGCACTCACATTACAACGGCCATGCAGTGCAGCATTAGTACACACTCATTGAGCTCACACATTGAGCGTTGAGCACACAGCCACACACTCATTCTAACAAGCGTGGAAGTTCCAACGTCTGCACAAGTGATGTTTCTGAGATGGAATGCACTGAGATCATCCCCACTTTCGACGCAGGACCTCCTTTTACGGACATTATTGAATTTTATAATTGTGCAAGGTGAGTTTTCAAGTTTTTTTGTGGTCGTAGGTATAAGTGTAGTCTACACGTTTGAATGGGAAGATTACTGGAACCATAACGCATGTTGCTGAGTCTAGTCTCGTTTTTAGGTGCTATTCCATCTGCGGAGCTCCGCATAGCCTTCCTCTATTTCCAACGTGGCGCCCTCCGGATCAGAGAATAAAAAAATCAGAAACGAAATGAAAAAGCAGCACTAATGATCTAGACTGCCCTCAAAATCAAAACAAATTTTTGATTGCATATTAGCGGCCATTTCGTAGGGAATGTTCGGCTTTTACTGCTTTTCAAATGCTATGCTATTTGACTATTAATTTCATGATTGGTAGCCTTGCACCAATCGGCGCATTTGTTATCGTTACGCCTAGTGGCTTCGCACAAATCTGGTTGGGTAAACCGGCCACTCACAGAACGGATAGAGGCTCGACAGGCCAATGCGAGAGCGGACATACTAACGTGCTCCGTTGATATGTGGAGTCATATCAACGCAACACGCTACGATCTCACTTTTTCCGGGAGGGATTCGTCAGCCATTTACCATGAGCTACAAGTATCTAAAACCGCGCCGTTTCCTAGACTTGCCACTTGGCAGGTTAGCCTGCCGCAAATAATTCATGGAATATTCTACTAATCATGCAAATCTGAAGTGTTTTTCTTAATACCATGCCCGTGTCTGCACCAAACTTTGCTTACTTTAAAAATGTCTACATACCTCAAATTCTTGTTTCTAAGCCTGTTGATTCGTCAAGTGGGTGGTGGAATGTCGGACACTGTCAGTGATAAAAACCGCTTCCAACTTTAAATGCTGGAATTTCCTCTCTGCGTAAGTGCTGATCAAATCATCGTAATGATTCCGAAGTTGGCAATTTGCAGCATTTGTAATGCAACCAGCGACGGAAAAATGTTAAGATTTCGAATAATAATGAGAACAGCAATGAGAACTGCAAATGTTGTGTGACATTCACCGGAACCACAACTGATGCAGATTTATCAGCATTAAGATTAAAGAACGATTAATGAAAATGCCGAATCACCGCAAAAGTTAAATAATGAAATTAAGAGGGCTTCCAAGTCAACGAAATCAATACAAAATATTGTTAATTATTATTAACCGAAACTCGCACAGAAAAGGTGCAAAAATTATCTTGGCCACTAAGAATCGGATGAAATCACCATGTCTTGAACTGGGCAGGTCAGAGCAATCACTAGAAACTCGGAATGTCTAAAAAGAAAGCAGTAACACAATAATGACAGGCATTGACAGCCGCGCGGTGCTTGCCATGGAATGTGAAGGTTTCACACCATTTGGCCACACAAAATACGACAATTGGTAAAACGAAATAAACAGTTTGTAAATGCCTACTCAACGATATTTTCAAACAACAGCGCCACGATTTACAAGTTTGTGAAACTCACTGAAGCAGTTATGCTCAAGGACACGGTTGTCAGCACGCCTTTTTTGCCGGTCACGCATGTACTTGCTGTACTACCGTTGCAAATCTGCTTTAAAAACGAAAAACTACGAATCTGTATATTTAGCCAAAACAGCTCTCGTCCTCTCTGAGTGCCCCTTATGCTAATAAACCGCTGGTTTCTCACCATTGCACCAAATTATGTGGCGTGATTGTCTTTCAAGATTGTCAGTGCTTTGACGAAGCAGCTGCTATTTTATAGCAGCGGTTACCGAATCAAATCAACTCTTGATTAAGGAAATAAACAATATCTGAGATAAGCACTACGCAGTCGTTAGGGAAATACGTTACTAATATATTTGTTAAATTCTTGTGGAAATTCCGTACGAGACACAGCGGAAGTAATTGGGCGTTTGCGGGTAGAACAGGTCGGCGGCGCGGCGGCATATGCGAACTCGAAGGTGCAGGTGATGACCTCACCGGTTCGAGCTTCCGATATCCCCACTTCCACCCGACTGCCCCCATTTATTGCATTGAGTAACAGAACAGTTGCGAAAGCAATAACATCAAAGGTTACCATGTACGGTGGGCGGGTGGTAAAAGAAGACCACAAGAGGGCTAAATCGGCGGACTGATAAAATAAGAGCTAGTCAGCACGACTGATCAGACCAGAATGCGAAAAGTAGTCGGGCCGTGTGCACGGCCGGCGGCAAGTCACACGTGTCCCCAAGGCATGACAAAGGAAGTAGGCTGAGCCAGCGCGAAACAAAACAATACAGGGAATTTGCCACGAATTTAACTTCGCTTAGCTAGCTAACTGTCCTTCAATTTTCAAAAGCTTTTGCTTACCTATAGAAGGTGTGGCGTAGCAACGCCAGCTGTACTATCTCCAGGCGCTGTACTAGTGTCAATCAGTGTGTGGTACGAGGTCGTGACAACTTGGCGTGAAAGGATTTGTGGTACTCAGTAAACACTTAGAGCGTTTAGTGGTGGTGTGAGTGGTGAACGTGCGAATTAGTGTTGTGTGGTGTGTGGGCGAGTGTGAACGATGGCCGCGGACGAAATACTGCCTATTCTGCTCAAGTTCGAGCCAGGGAAGATGGTGTGGGGATCATGGAAGTCCCGCTTTGAGAATTTCCTCAAGCTACAGAAAGTAGACGACGCGGATGAGCAGAAGCGGGTGCTGCTTGACTCCTTGGGCGTCGAGGCTTACGAAATGGTCCACTCAATGTGTTTACCAAAAGATCCGGCGGAATTGACCTTGGCCGAAGTGCTGGAGAAGTTGGAGCATGCATACGTGAAGAAAACCTTCAAGGTCATCGAGTGGGCGAATTATTTCCGACTGAAACAGGAAACCAGTGAAACGTTGCTTGACTTCTTAAACAAACTTCGAAGAAAGGCCATCCACTGCAGATTTCCTTCCGACGTGTTAGAAGACAATATGAAAGCCACTTTTCTCAACGGAGTAGAAAGTGACCTGACGAGGCGGCTACTAATGTCGAAGGACTTCAATACTCTGGAGAAGGCGCTGGAACTGGCTGAACAGTTTGAATTGTCGCATCAGAAGTCGCTGAAAATCCGAGACGATGATGGGGACGTGGCGCAGATACGGGGAGGACGGAGGAGCGGTCGGAGTGACGGTGGGCGTGGTCCGAGTGACGGTGGGCGTGGTTCGAGTGACGGTGGGCGTGGTCCGAGTGACGGTGGGCGTGGTCGGAGAAACGGTGGCGGAGTGGCGCATGGAAACCGTGAGCGTGGTGGTGAACGTCGGCATAGACGAGGCGAGAGCAAGGAGAGCAGCGGTGTCGAGCGAGACGACGAACACGACGGGTGCTTTGCCTGTGGCCAGAAAGGTCATATGAAAGCGGAGTGCTGGGCAAAAGAGGTAAAATGCCGATACTGTGGCAAGCGTGGTCACATCGAACGGGTGTGCCGGACCGCAAAGGAGGACCGGAAGTCCGACCGTGGACGACACCGGACGATGATGGTTGAGCAGGAATTTGATGTGCTAGCTGTAGAAGATATCCTAGCACGGCCTAGCCGATATAAACTTAATGACTGATTAATATGGGAATTCGTGATTAATTTTATTTTTTTTGTGCTATCTATTTTCTGTTTTTGTTTGTGTTAGTGGGTTCCCCACTTGGGGGAGGTGTGGCGTAGCAACGCCAGCTGTACTATGTCCAGGCGCTGTACTAGTGTCAATCAGTGTGTGGTACGAGGTCGTGACAGAAGGTTATTTTTTAGGAGAGCTAAATAATAATACATAATAAATTTGAATCCATCCACCTATCGCGCTTCCTACGTCCGGACTCCACTCCGCTTGTTTTTGGTCAGTTTGTGCTTTCGGCAGTTTAATTACAGTGCGAGCCGCATGTGTAAGTACGTATACACAGATACTTACAGAGTAAACCTCGCGCATTCGTACTCGGCACATGTGTATTGGAAAGGTCAGGTTCAAATTATGGATTGCTCCGGCAGTCGCGTTTATGTTTTACGCCAAGACATGCACGGTGCATCATGCAGCCCTTAATTCAATCACTAGAAAACTCAGTCGTAGTATTCAGTGGAGTTAATGTACGAGTATATACCCAAGTGCTACGGTAGCATACAAAGGTTGCCATTATTCTGTATGTTCAGTTCGTCTCACTTTCTCGGATTTATCTGTAAAAAAATCGAGAAATAAGCTGGTTTAAGGTTATTTCTGGCCATTGCACGCTGCACGTACGATTACGCAGAAATTTGCAACGGAATAAGCATCTCCATAAAACTAGTATCTTACAAGCTCGTTTGTGAATGTGGCTCGTTATAATAATTTTCAATTTTACCTGTGTCCTGCTTTTTCTGTCGTTCCTGTTATATTTGCGACACAATCTGTTTATACATAATCCCGGGTTTTTGTCTTAATCTGATAGTATTATTATTTTTATCTTGTTGTCTTCGGGTTTTGTCAGTTATCTATCAATGGGAGTTTGATAAAAATGCTCTGCAACAGAATTATGCAACTCGCAGCGGCTATTCACTGATTATTAGCGAATAAAGTTATCACCTCTTTACTGTCGTGTGGACTGGCGTAACGATACCATGACGGCTGCCTGCACTAACCGTTAAACTAGTAATTATCGCACTGCCGAAGAACCGGCACAGCAACTGTCAACAGTGCGTTAAGTTTCTTAGGTTTCGATCTAGTTTCCTGTGACTAAGAAAATGGGAGAATTACAGCGCTCTGGCTTGCATGACTTAGTTGAGATTGCTGCCCGGGGAGTCATAAAAGAGCTGATGAGCTTACTGACATCGCAAGGTAGCAAGCTCATAGTTGTGGCTTTCAGCGCTCTATTAGATAAAACCCATCCGGGTTCAGTTGAAAGACGTCGAAAATTTGTGGACTATTATTTTTTATTCGACACCCGCGATGAACTAATAAAAGCGCATCAATCCATCAAAGAAGCCAGCAGGAAACTGCACAGCCGATACTCGCTTGACCACCAAGCTACTGAAACACTGGCATGGACCATATCGTGTTATCCGACAAAGAAACAACGTCAATTATGAAATTGAGAATGTAAATGGACAACGGAAAAAGGACGTCGTACACGTTTGTCAACTTAAACCCTGGCACGACCAATCAGATGAAAAGGACAACATCCAGCTAGCCAAGACAACACCGGAAGGGAGACCGTCGAAAGGCAAGCTCAGAAAGTTATGGCTTCGAACAAGCATGACGTTATCAGTATGAAACTGTGCGAAATTTTCGACCGTTTCGACAATTTCATTACTGCACGTGATCCTCGATCGCAGCAAAATTTTAAAGGAGTTTTTCTTGCGAAAAATGCTAGAGGCGCACTAGTGAAATACCACAACCTCATCACGACCAACGATGCGAGCAGTCGGTTTCTCGATGATCTTGTTGACGCGTATGAGTACGAAGAGTTTTCCGAGTGGTGCGATGTGCTATTGACAAACAGCTTACGGGCGTATTGGTGTGCCATCTTCCAGCGCCGTCTCGAAAGTGAATGCGGTGAAATTGGGGCTCCCACGCTGCATGTTCAGGAAGAAGAATTGGAATCACTGCTGGGGAACATCGTGAAAACGGTAAAGTCCGCGCAAAACCGGTACCATAGAAAACCGTTTATTGTTAGGCAACCCGAGAACCAAGCAAACGGCGAGAAACCTACATCAGATTTCATACGACTCGTTGACGGTTTCATGGTCAGCTGCAATGACGCACCAAGCAGGGCCAATCAGCAGCTGGCGGGCGAGATTGGTAAACAGTTAACAGACAGATATCCTTGGCTGACCTGGGCGGTGGTGATTGCGGAAGATAATCATGATTGGCGTAATTTTATATTTTACTCGACTGATTTTAAAGAGCATTTATTATTCCAAACGTCCGATCACGAGCAAACTTTGCCACTTTTAAATGAAATTCTGAGCTCGGGTCCGCTGCATACAACCAAATCATCCGGGCAGCGTTATGGTCTCTTCACGTGCAAGCGCAAATTTCGTGTTGCCGGGAAACTTGTCCATCAGAGGCGGATCACCATATTCTGGATACGCCACGATGACATTATGGACGTAAATTTGATGGCTGATGATGACAGCGGCCTACGCAAGCTGGATATTAAAAAACTGGCAAAGGATTTCAATGTTAACAAGATTAAGGAGCGAAGTAAGCATCGAACGGAACAGCACCGTTTTATCGAAGACGCGCTGTACAGGAACGGATACCAGTACGTTGCTTACCTAGGCCTGCGAAAATCAAGGGATGCATGTATTACCGGGATGTACCTCTCCAATCACGATGTCAGCCCGTCGTGGCCATATCACGTACAGAATGATAGCGGTCATCTTGTTTTATGGATAACCAATGGTACGGTTTAAACAGCACTGTAGACTGTAGAGTATCCCTGCTCTTCAGACATTTTTCGTACGGTATGAGTTGTACGTACTACACTGTACGGTAGTATTTAATACAATAATACTTACTGACTCGTACAGCGCACGTATGTCTAAGTTCTAGAGCCCTGCGCGAGCGCCGAGCCTCGGCTCGGCTCGGCTCGTGAGCGCTCGCGGCTCGCGAGCCGAATGAGCGAGCTTTTACCACTACTGGCGCGAGCCGAGTCGAGCCGAGCGGTCGTTTATCGATGGGCGAGCGAGCCGAGCGAGCGGCAATCAGAGGTCACGAGCGAGCTGAGCACTGCTTTCTGTCTCGTACTATTTTTTATAGAATTTCTAGCAATTTTCTTCCAAAAATGTGCGTTGGCTTCGCGCTTCGCGCGAAATAAGCTGTCCCGTATCAATTTTTATATAATTTCTGGCGATTTTCCTGGAAAAATGGGCGTTGGCTTCGCGCTTCGCGCGAAATAAACTGGTTTAAATTCATGCAGCGGTGCTGCCATATAAAAAACCAAAGTACGTGTTTACAATTAATCCGCATACAACTTTGCTCGCGAGCGGTCTGAGCAGAAGAATTTGAAATTGTCTACGAGCCGAGCGATCCGAGCAATAAGAAATTTGGACGCGAGCCGAGCGAGCGAGCAAACGATTCAGCACGAGCGAGCTGAGAAAAATTTTACAATAGTTAAAATGACACGAGCGAGCGTGAGCCAAACATTTGACGCTCGCGCAGGGCTCTATGTCTAACCTTGGAAAAATATCCAAGTGCAGGGTTACTCTCTCTACAAAACTAGATAAGCCTTAAGCTGATGCAATAATTATGCAAGGCCCGATTCAAAGCACATGTGAACATTTTACATAAACGTGGATTATATCTATATACACCGACCGCGTCAGTAATAATAATATTATACTTTTGGATTTTGTAAGCTCCTCCCGTAATTGGAGCCCCCCTCCCCCCCATGAGGCGTTCCAATATTTATGACCCATGGCTTATAATTCGATTATTACGGTATGGCGTATGCTTAGTGCTACAACGCTGTGTTTTGGTGGATGCAGATCATGCAATCAATGGGAACCGACTTCGCGACATACTGTTAAAATACCAAAAATACCTCGTGCTATCGTTACTACTTTTATACTGTTGGCGTAGCGCGCATCAGTGTTGGAATTGGCTCCAGCAATTATCGAAACCAATACGTTTTTGATTTCGTTGATATAAAAATCACCGGTTTTGAAACGAGCTTCAACATAGATTAAAGTGGACTGCTCACGCTGCGTAAACACGAAGCGTGTATCGCGCTATCCTTCGTTGTTACATTAGTGTGACATAGGTATATCCGATTAAGGTTCTCCAATTAATTTCTAATTTTTCGTAATCGCTGTAACACTATATTATGTAACACAGCACAGCCTACTTCATAAAAAAGTCCGGTTTATCTCTCCGGCTGTCTCCGTCCTGCTGTGTCCCGTTACAGTTCATAATATGAAAAACTATATTTGTTGCACAAATATGCAATTTGTAGTCACTCAATGTGCCATAAACCGTATGCGAGAAGTTTCGGAATTGCGACTGGCAGAAGAATTCCTCAGACGCGGAGCGGGCTGTCGTTTACCCCAGATAAAAACAATAGCGGTAAGGAAGCAGCCTTTGCCGAATACTGACGCGGAAGGCCTACTCAAGGCTGCCGAAGAATCCATCGACAGCGGCAACAAATATTTGTCTGTGAGTCCGTCGCGGAAAATAAAAGTTTTTATATAAAGAGAAATTTATGAAAAACAACTAGGTCGATTACAGACGGGCTTCGTTGATAAGGCGATTACCAAATATGAGTATGCAAAGAGCCTTCTGGATCGACCATCTACCAAAAGTGGAGACGGACGCATTTCGTTGCTGAAGACTGTCGGCTGCAATTTGGCACTGTCTTACTTGCAACGCAGAGATGTACAGGCGGCCGAGGAGTCGGCAAATGCAGTACTGCGTCATGAGGCAGACAATCCCCATGCACTCATCATTCGCAGCTTGGTTAGTATTCTTAGCAAGAGCACACAAAAATCCGTAGAATCGCGGTTCAAAACATATTATAATTCACGTGCAATCGACGCCATAGCGATAACCACAAAGTTTCTTTTGAATGGAAATGCATCTCATTCATTCCGGTAAATTAGTTCATACAATACGCTGTTCGTACTCGTAGGTAATTAATGAATTATTATTAGCTAAGTGCACGACAGAATGCAAGTACGTTAAAGTGAGCACAAAATAACGTACGTGAGCACTACAGCACGTTTTACGGTCAAAGCTATGCGCAGGAGTTTTGTAATTATAGAAAACTTTAGTACGTCTATAAACGTACGTAGTACGTACGTACGTACTACGTCTTTAGTACGTCTACGTCTTTAAACTTTACTATAGCACGTTTTACGGGTATACTGTACATTCAAAAAATTCTCTGCATAAAATTAATATACTTCTGAAGTACATTTAAAAAAATAGCTTCAAGTGCCAAGGTTCATAGGGCGTGGCTAAACAAAACAAAAATGCGTACGCGTATACCATAGTATTATTACGAGTAAGCAACGTCTTTTCTGCAGTCTTCAGTTCTGGGGATTTTGCGGGGTCTAAACTTGTTGAGTTGAAGGCCTTCGCAATTGTCGAGTGCAACCACCGATTTTGCCACTGCCAAGCTGCAAATCCCCAAAAATTCCATAATTTGTAAAAACATTCGTGTGTATGGTACATAACATCTCTGTTTTCGAATAAATAAAATAATACCGACTATTTGAAAATTTAAAGTTTGCCTGTGGTGACCTCACCGTGTACAGATACATTAGTAACCAATTTCATAGGCGTCTGTAGCCGGCAGAAAGGTGGACAAGTGGATGGCAGATGTTCAATGAAATCGCATCCACCAATCTGCCGACCTTCGGCAGATTGGCGGATGAGCCGTCCACCTTTCTGCCGGATTGCATCCACCTTTCTGCCGAAGGTCGGCAGATTGGTGGATGCGATTTCATTGAACATCCACCCGTCCACCTTTCTGCCGGCTACAGGCGTCAAATAACTAGAAATGTCATCGGCTGATTTATAGTTTCCGCAAGTTCTGACTAACTTAAAATCATGGAAAAGCCCGTATTTTGAGACTACGGTATAGACGTACGCATTAAACTTCTGTTAGGGCACACCCTGTTGACCATGGCACCTAAACTATTTTTTGAAATATTAGTACTCTTCCATACAAAGACATTCCTTCTTTCTGCAAAATACTGACTGTTGGATTATATTTTATTCCACAAAATACAAGATGGATTTCTCACATGAGATGAAAAGCGGATGCGGCGCCGCACATGTATCTGTATCACATAATTTCTAATTTTTCGCCAAATTATTTTATTTGATATGAAACTGTAAGGGAGTGTGGAAAATAAGAATCTTGGTTTCCGTTGCGAATTATAATGCAAAGCTTGATTTTTTTATAAAATTTCGTCTTATTTTTGTTTCTGGGAGAAAGTGTAAAGGTAAAAGCAATAAAACTGGGTACCGAGTGTTAAGGCACTAAACAATTGCGAAGCAGTGATCAAGTAATCTTTTCTAATTTCTAAAACCTACAGTTTAATTAGGCTGCCGATACGTAATGCGTGATACAGATGATGGCTGCACAAAGTGCTTCCGTTTTCTAGGTACATGTTGCCCTACGGGATTACCATAAATCGCAGCGGGATATCATAACGTTGCTCATGAAACAGCCGGCTCATCCAATGGAAATTGTGCTGAAAGTGATACAGCTCGGAACGATAGACAATAATTATTATCAATCGTCGCAACAGTCTCGCCTGACAGCTGACTGGGAAATCTGTTCCAAGCTACCGCTAATCATGCGAAAGCTTAGTCTGAAAGTTTACGAAGCTACGGAAGCCGAGCCGTACCGGAAAGATGCCATAGAACTGCGGAACACCCTCTCAGCCGTTAACACATTTGTCCACGATGCTGTGGAAAAGCTGCAATCGGAGCAAAGCGAAGCCAACCTTCGGATTCTGTTGGGATGGCTTGACGCAGTGTTCCAGGTGGCTAGCCACATATTTCAGTTAAGGAAAGAATGGGTTTTCATACGACGGGAAAATGTCGAAATGGCGCTGTTGATGCTTAAGGTTCTTATTGCTGGAAAAAGCACGTTTTTGAAAGACGTCTTTTCATAAAATTCAGTTTGACGTGTATTTTTCACAAATTTTCTCCGCGAAATTTGCCTGCCAGCGTTTTTTTGCGTTTTTTTGTTATGTTTTTGTCGCTTTTACGATCAGCGACATACCAGCACATTTCTGTAATCAGGAGGCTTAATTAATAGAAGTACGCTCAGATTTGTAGCTGGGTTTTACTACTTGTGCTGTAGATATACTTGGTAATAAGGAAGTAATCAAAAGAGGATTAATCGACCGCAACGAAGCTAAAGTGGTCTGTATTCAGGAAAACAGGACTTTTTTTGTCGGTCACGCACACTAAGTTGTCCGGCGCGGTCTGACGATAACTACGTGGTAGTCTATGCTGAGTAGGCTGGTTACTTGTGAAACTTGCATTCCTGTTTGCTTGCATCTCTTTGGAAAACTATAGCAACGTAAAGGGCAATGAAAATAACGAAAGACCTTGATTAAGATAGGCGCTGGAGGCCTTTCAATTAAATGCTTTTCCTAAAGGATAAACAAGATTTTTTATTTCCTGAACACAATAGTTGCCCTCTTTACATTGCTAATTTATTGCGATAAATATTTTTATGAGCCTTACTGCGTACAAGTGATGCACTTTACCGTATTACACGAAAGCCTTTGGCCCTTATGATATACCAAGCCAAGAAAACGGAATTAGATCAGAAACGCATACTCCGCTGAGATAGTATACGAATCTAAGGAGAATCGTCCATCTAGCATTATTGAATCGTCCAGCACGCAGCCCCTAACCGCATTAATGCTCGACTGGCATACAGAAAGTAATCTAAATTTGCTGACTACATATATGAAGCGACTTCAAGCGATTAGACGCTTCATGCTTACTATTGCATAGTGCGTGATTGACAAACAGTTAAACTTTGTTTGACAAGCTTCACAAGAGTGGCCAGACAGATAATTCAACGGCAGGCGCAGGTAAAATGGATCTGGTATCCAGAGTTATCTAGGATTACTCTGAATGTTTTCAAATGTGTTACGTAACCAGTCCCAATGCCATAGGATTTAAGCTTCTTCCCGTCCCGGGACGACACACCCTAAACTTAACCTCCTAAAAGTTACTAATATGGGGTGGTGGGGCGCTTAGCTGTTGCTAGACTGCTACCGGGCGCACACGCACTGATACTGCGACTGCTTCCCGTGCATATGTACAGCCTTCCTGTTGAAATGGACCACAACGACAAAATGCCCGGATCAATAAATCCACATGCTTCCCGTATCATCTGCCGCTGTGTGATAGAGGTTGGACCAGTTCAGCTTCTCGCATACGTATTGTATGTGCACCAACTGCTCGCTTTCAAACGTTATACATGCTGTACAATTATACGTACATAATAATATGTTCCCCGTCCTTCTTCCATGTACCATACCGACATGTAGTATGTCGCTCCCTGTAAGTGTGATTGCATGTTGAATATTTTTGCAACGGAACATCCTTATTCATAGCCTTTCCAATGCTGTAGCCCATTATTGGTGAATTTGTTTGCTTCTTACGGATTCTTGCATTGTCGACACTAATATGGAGGACCAAAACATAATTGAGGAAAGTACCCGTGACTCCCACGGCGCAGCTAATCCTACTCATGATACACTGTCGAAGGCTGATGGGGAGGAAGCGTCGCGTCAGCAGTATCAGCGCCTAATGACAAAATACGTAAGCGATCAAGCAAAAGCATACAAGAATATTATACAAGATTATTAATTACCAAACACTTTTATATTGACTGGGTCCGATATTTTGGCAGCGTTGGCTAGTGGCTTATAACGCTGTCTGCGCAAAACTACAGCAAGAAGAAGCAGGATTGAGTCCTCCCGCTGGAGCAGCAGCGCATGATGAAAGGGCTGCATTGCCAGCAGCCGGTGTTCTACTGGCCTCATTAAATTCTTGTGGAAATTCCGTACACTCGAACGGCAGACAGAGCTGGGCGTTTGCGGGAAGAACAGGTCGACGGCGCGGCGGCATATACGAGATCGAAGGTGCAGGTGATGACCTCACCGGTTCGAGTCTCCGATATCCCCACTTCCGCCCGACTGCCCCCGTTTATTGCATTGAGTAACAGAACAGTTGCGAAAGCAATAACAACAAAGTCCACCATGCAGGGTGGGCGGGTGGTAAACGAAAACAGCAGAGGATTAAATCGGCAAACTGAAACGTATCAGATTGTCAGCACGACTGAACAGAAGGCGAGCAGCAAAGAAAAACCGGGCCGTGTGCACGGCCGGCGGCGACATAAAACGCTCTCATGCGCAACAAAGAAAGTGGGCCGAGCCGACGTTTAACAAAGCAGTACAGGGAATTTGCCACGAATTTAACTGCACTTAGCTTGCTAACTGTTCTTTAAATTCTTGTGGAAATTCCGTACACTCGAACGGCAGACAGAGTTGGGCGTTTGCGGGAAGAACAGGTCGACGGCGCGGCGGCATATACGAGATCGAAGGTGCAGGTGATGACCTCACCGGTTCGAGTCTCCGATATCCCCACTTCCGCCCGACTGCCCCCAAACAATCTATCCTGTCCGATAGGGATTCAGTGTCACAGGTGGCCCGGAGTGGCGAATGTAGCGGGTGTAACAGTTGCTCCGCCAGCGTCCGGCCAGTTGAATGGCGTGGTCAGGCACGTTATTGGCGGCGGCCGTCGTTGCCGCGCCGATACGAAAAACTGTGCGTGTTGATCCGTTCTCTCTCGGGGTGATTCTTGAGGAGGAGGCGGAGGCATTTCTCCACATCTGCCCTCGTGACGAACTTGCCATCTTCGCGCTGCAACAGCGGCTGCTCGTTCGCAGGCTCGGAAACGCGAGCACGGTAATTCCGGTATGCCTGCACGGGACAGACTGAACGCCCAGTCGCCGTCAGCGCTACAGAACTACCTTGCCCCGTCTGGTCCGTCTTTGTGACCTTCAGCTGCACCGTTAGGCGGTTTCCAGCATCCACTACGTCCCCCCATAACAAAATCCGCTGTGGGTCAAAACGGTTGGCGGCGGCTGCTGTTATTTCTCCAATACGGAAGAAGCCGAAGAACAGGAATGTGAACGTCGTCCAGTACAGCAGCTGTTCGTACTCTGATATGCCGGCCGCTCTTAAGGCGTCTTTCAAATATCGCATGTGCGACAGTGTAACCGGAAGTCGCCGATCTTTCTTTGGCGCTGCTAACCGGCGGTAGCCTTCAAGAGCACGGTAAACGATGTCGTTGTCTGTGGGATTAACTGCGTTCACTTCACGGTGATGATTCCGGATGCCGGCGAGGTAAACCGTGGCCGTCCGATAGCATTTACCATCTGCATATAATTTCGCTACAAATTCCGCAACAGTTGCCGGCGTAGCCGGCAGGGATGGCTGCGATTTAGCCGCGCAGTATTGTTGGAACTGGTTGAAGGCAGTATTGTACGTTGTCCGAGTAGACTCAGCGATATGAGCCTGCAGCAATTCGTTCAGCTCTGGGGATTGCAGAAGGCTGCCTTGAGGTCCGGGAAGATATCGGGACAGTCCACCGGCAGTTGCTCCGCCTGTGGCGCTAACCGACGGAAACGGCTTTGCTCGCTTCCGACGCTTAAACGAAAACAGCAGAGGATTAAATCGGCAAACTGAAACGTATCAGATTGTCAGCACGACTGAACCGAAGGCGAGCAGCAAAGAAAAACCGGGCCGTGTGCACGGCCGGCGGCGACATAAAACGCTCTCATGCGCAACAAAGAAAGTGGGCCGAGCCGACGTTTAACAAAGCAGTACAGGGAATTTGCCACGAATTTAACTGCACTTAGCTTGCTAACTGTTCTTTATCGGTAAGATAAGCGATTTACCGCTGTTTATCACGTTACCGTTTATCATGTTGCAATAAATTGCGCAGTCCATTAAGTCCAGTAATAGGCTGTATACACAGCCTATTACTGAACTTAGTTTTTTACTAGTTCCCATTAATGCATTTTTGAAGGAATTTTTCTGAAACACTGCAATTTTTATAGTAGTCATTTCAGCGTGCTTATGTATTTTCAGGCTGAACCGGAACGATCGGCGGCGACGATGGAAACCGACAAGCTGCTTGACGTTGTTAGCATTGCCGTACCGGGACATGCCTCGGATGCCGAAACAAGCAAAATCGGCAAGACGACGACCCAGAAATGTTGCACGTGGTGTTGTGTAATTACAGCAATGGTGCTCGTACTAATGGCTATTTGGCTGCTATTTAAAACCAGTTCACTTATTTGATTGGCATACTGTATCCTAACCCTGCACTTGAAGGAAATCTGTACGCTATGAGCGGCACGGTGCTGTATAGCCGGATAAACGTTCAGCCAATTCACGTTCTAAACATGCACTAGCTGCAAGCCGTGTATGTGAATGGTGAATGCGGTCGTACAAGTACGTGTGGCTGCACTGTACAAATTTCCTTCAAGTGCAGGGTTAGGATACAGTATTGTGTTTTTAAAACACTCCTTCCGTTCGTCCCGTATTCTCGTTTGGATATCGCTCGGATTATTTCCCATAATGTTAGTACGATGTTCGGACATGCCGCTGGAAACGGCCGAGTTATGGTGAACTGATTCATCGAGCGGATGCTACTATTGCTGTGCGAAACAAGCTGACCGCAACTGAATATTTGTATGTTTGTATTCTGACCGTCTTATATTCTTATGTACGTAAACAGTACCTCTGCTCTATACATATTACTATACCATACATGTTACCTATCGTATTACCTATCTTATTTAACGGTGCCATTAATTAAAAGACTCGTTTCCCCGCTTACAATAAGTTTTCGGCTCTTGTTTCGGGACGGTTTAATAAATACTACCTATTTCCAAAACATTCAGCGTTTATACCTGCGTAGTACTTTGTATACTGCAGAATTTATGCGCTGTTACAGTACACTAACTTGCATGATAAGATGGATACGAAAGTAGGAAGAATAACAAAGCTTAAATTGTATGCTGTTACACAGAATTACAGCCATAGAAATGTCGCTGCCAAGCTGTCTTAATAAGTAACCAGTGCAACTAGTGAAAACTGATTCGGTTCGAATTATCTGCAGCGCACTGCAGCTTTTACAACCGGAAGTCCATTTACTAAACGTAGTGCTAATAACAAATTCTATAAGGGTGTGCCAGGGAACCAATTAGGCTTGCAAATTACTGCTTATGTATAGCCAAGTTACGACGTGATTAAGGGGAGCAAATGCCAACTGTTTCGCGTTTCTTCGCATAATAATGTAACTGTTTATTTACAATTCCATTTGCGACTTAAAATTAAGTTACAATATCCTCATTCAGTAAATTTTCCTTTTGGCTTGTACTTGAAGCGGACAGCAGTGTTGGTGGACGTTGTGTGGTGTTCGGCAGACGAATAGCTGCTGACAAATTCAGATCCGCTCGCTTGTTCGCCGTACGTGAAGCGGTGAACCTGATAAAAAAGAAGCACGCTGAACCTTTATTGCACATGCACTCTAACAGTTTTGTGATAATAAAAATTCGGAAGTTTTATCATTCTGCTAAAGTGCTTGGAATAATAACCACCATGCTCTGGATACTGCCTGCAAGGATTCCGTAAGCAGAAACGCAGTTAAATAAACTGCACCCTGGAATTCTTATAACATTTTGCATTGCTGACGTCATAGCATGACAGTTCTGTTCGCACTGTTCTCTGCACTGATAACAGCTGAGTTTAGCATTTCCGCTCAACATTTATGTCAAATGACACACATCCTGTAGTTGTCATTTCATCATGAATAATCTTTTATTGCAGACGCGATAAGATCCGTAATATTCCGTCATTCGTATTATCTCTTCCGCATGAGGTTCTTCTTCGACATCCTATCAATAATGCTGCTGTATAATGAAGGCCGATGCATCGAACCTCTGAAATTGGCGCCACATTGTTTAACGTGACCGGGGGACGTATCCGCTGATAACGCTCACAGTTGGTGTGGACGCTTATGACGTAGTGTTCTCTTGTCCTGCTTATCTTCGCCAATGCCAGCCATATGTCAGAAAAATATGGGTCTCGTTCTTGCTTTATAAAATGCTTTCTCCAACCAAATGATTTTCATAAGTTTCAAACAAAAGCCGTATTCCGCTGTTCCTTGGTTTTAAATTAGATCCATTCTAATACCTCGTATTTCGTAATAGCTGAAAAGATGCATACACTCGTTATTCTAAGCACCTGTATGTTTGCAGCGGTTGTCGTTATCCTTGGACAAGATGCAGGTAATTGCAAAAGGCGTCTGTATAGTCTTTCCGGCGCTAACTGCTGAATAACGGCTTTTGCAGTGCTACTCTAGTTTTGTTTACAGTTCCATGTGAACTGATTCAGTAAACCAGCAAATAATTATTTCTGTTATGAGAAATTTTTTTGAACACTTTGTGGGGGATGTGATAGGGACCGCGGTCGAGACTGGCCATAGCAGCAGTGAAAAGAACTCCACTGCCACCACAGAAGTTAAATTTATCAGCAATATGCCGGCCTGGCAATATGGTTGGCTCGATATGCCCTGGTCTATGCATGTACAAACGGACATCTGGGTCACTTACTACTGCAACAAGAACGACCCTCGCTTCCCGGCACAAATCGCTGGTCCAATCAATGAAAAACTATTGGCATATTACCCTGATTACAAGTGGAATGTGGCCGTCTTTAACCTTTCTCATGCATCCGTCGCGGTATGTCAAAATGGTTAACAGATGGGCGAGCCTTTGCCAATATGTTACAAATAATAATATAAATAATCACAGCTCTCGCAGTTGTGCAATGGGAAAATTGAAGGGTAGCACATTTTTACAGGCTTCATACAGTAGTGGAACTCGGTATATGGCCAACTGCAACGGTATGAGATACCAGATCTGGGGAACCTCCAAGTTGATTCAAGAATAATCACTGCTGCCGTTGCTGGTGAAGAAGGGACGGTGTGTTGAAAACGGTCTCCGGATGACGAAATTAACCAAAACTGCTTAAGCCTTATGGTAGTTTGTTTTCAAAAACTAAAGTATCTTTCAAAGTGCATAAGCATCGCGGCCTGTGCAAGCGTAGATAAAGCATAGATTTTCTACTGTAATTCCGCTTAGCTGCTTAAACTTCGAATAGCTTTCAGTTGGTTTACAAATGAAGGAAATAAACAGTTGCACTGCAAAATTCCAAAATTATTTCTCTACTGGGCAGTACATAGCGCTTCAGAGTACCATATAGAGAAAGTGAAGAAATACAATCAGAGTGACTACATAAAGTACTCGTATAATGACAGGAAAAAGCTGTGCAGCAAGAACAGAACTGCAGTTAATTTTATGTTTTGTTATCACGAACCCTCAGCCGATGTCTTATTTAATATTCCTTATTCTTCAAAGATGGTTAATATATTTTCCAAGCCGTTTCTGTGCTGCTTTCACACTGCGACAGTGTCACGGCATGAATATCTCAAGCAACCACAAAAAGTCTACGTTTTTACTGTATTATTCCGGTATGCGTAATTTAGCCGCATCGACAGAAAAACGCATTTTGCAAGGTAAATTTGTTTTTTCAGAGACCCCTGTTCTATGAGCTACATATGTAACTGGCAAAACCGTCCGGACGAATAAACCGTCCGCCGGACGCTTTTGCCTTTAAGCCGGCAAAACCTTTCGGCGGACCAAAAAAACGTCCGCCGTAAATTTTTCTCACGCAGCTTTTGTGCTCCTGCTCGATCTTGTGAGTGACCTGGAGTGTATATTCGTGGGCGGAGGGTTTTACCGTAATGTATATTCGGGGGCGGACATTTTGCCTGAATGAATTTTTGGAGGTGGACGGTTCAACCTTCGGTTTTGCCGGTAACGTATTAATTTTATTTGTGTCGCTTTCAGTGAAGGGTGCGGCAGAAAATTGAGCAAATAAATTATAAACTGCGCTCATTGATGCCATTCAGGACGTACGATAACAAAGACAAGAAAAATAAGAAACCTTAACCTTTACAACGTCCCCGTAAGGTCTCGTAATCTGCCACAGCAATTGAGCAACGTCAATAAGTAGCAACCGGGAAATTCCTCCAAATGTTCGGCTAATTTGCGGTAAACTGCGCCTGGCACTGGTGGCGGTTAGTTCGCGAATCATTCTGATTCAGCGGCTACAGCATGTCAATAAACCTTTATGGTAGCCATTGTTGCAGCTATCGGTGTCGTGTGGTAAACACTAAACACTCGTTTTAAACCAGTCGCGATAACAACCGTGTATGACACTGTCACACTGGTGACTGAGAGTCTTTAAGAATCAAAAGGCAGACAGATTGTGTTGTCATGTTGTCTCGAGAGCACATAAGAGCACAATCAGTATAGCCCGATAACAGGATGTTAAAACAATACAGAATCTGGAACAGATGACTAGAGTACTTCGCTTTTTCTCATATTCCGGTCACTTTAACTATACAGTTTCATATTCCGGTCACCAGGTAGCAAAATGTCCTAAAAAAAAAATTTACAGAAATGGTTAGTTCTCATAAAAACGACTTCTCTCATCAAATTTGAACGTACTAAACATCAACAAATTTTTATGAAAAACAGAACAAATAACAGACACTCTGAACCGGGTGAGACGGAAAACACTGGGCCTTTTCGACTATAAACGTCAACAAATGAGATTTAATGGACTCCTGAAAAGTCTGAGGGTTGGGCGGGGGCTTGCTCAGCGAACTTGTAAGCGCTCTTTTATAAAGGCTTACCCTCAAAATATGGCGATAGTATTAATGAGTCTTAATGATACTTTACTTCAATTCAGATACGCAATGCCACTTTGTATAATCTGTTGGGTACAACTATGTAGGGGGAAAAAGTAAACGTGTTCCACCGTTCCCTTGTAATGCTAGATACGAAAGAAGGAACATAACTAAGCTTAAATTGTATGTTGTTATACAGAATCACAGCCATAGAAATGTCGCTGCCAAGCTGCATTAACAAGTAACCAGTGTTACCAGTAAAAACTGATTCGGTTCGAACTATCTGCAGCGCACTGCAGCCTTTTCAACCGGAAGTTCATTTACTAAACGTAGTGCTAATTACAAATTCTATAAGGGTGTACCATGGAACGAACTAAGCTTGCAAATTACTGCAAATGTATAGCCAAGTTACGACGTGATTAAGGGGAGCAAATGCCAAGTGTTTCGCGTTTCTTCGCATAATAATGTAATTGTTTATTTACAGTTCCATTTGCGACTTAAAATTAAGTTGTAATATCCTCACTTAGAAAATTTTCCTTGTGGCTTGTACTTGAAGCGGACAGCATTGTTGGTGGACGTTATATAGTGTTCGGCAGACGAATAGCTGCTGACAAATCCGCTAGTTTGTTCGCCGTCCGTTTAAGCTAAGCGGTGAACCTGAAAAAGAAGCACGCTGCACCTTTATTGCACATGCACCCTAACAGTATTGTCATAATAAAAATTCGGATGTTTTGTCATTCTGCTAAAGTGATTCTTTGCTTGGAATAATACCGTATTTATCGAATTAGAAGCCCAGGGTTACAAATATTTCAAATGACCCACGGGGTGGGCTCCGATTACGGGCATGGGCTTGTATTTAGGGGGGGGGCTTCAATTTTTCAAACCAGCTTTTTGGCATTTTTTAATATGGGCTTTACGGTATTTAATTAAGCCCATGGGCTTCTATTTCGGGGGGGGGGGCTTATAACTTTCAAACGACCTTAGGGTGGGCTCTAATTACGGGGGGGGGGCTTGTATTTTGGGGGGGGGCTTCAAATTCGATAATTACGGTAACTACCATAGTGGGGATACTGCAAAGATTCCGTAAGCAGAAACGCAGTTAAATAAACTGCAACCTGGAATTCTAATAACATTTTGTATTGCTGATGTCATAGCAGGAACAGCAAGAACAACCTTGCCGACCGCCTGACAGCCCATTTTCAGCTGTATCCCCATCAGACCGCCCCGCCTGCGCCTAGCCAGCCGTACCGACGCTGTCTGACCTCGGCCTAAGCAAGGAAACCATCGATGCCCTCGAGGAGGATAACATCACGGAAAGACAGCACCTGGCTCTCCTTACCCAAGCCGAAGTGGACCAAACTGTGCAGAAGATTGGCGACCGCTCCCGTATCAAGCAGTTGCAAGCGTCTGAGAAAGACTCCACCGTGATCTCAAAGGTCACCAGCCATGCTTGCCAAAAACGCAAAGTGCTACCGGATTCCGGCGCAAGAGAGATCAAGGCAAAGAAACAACGCCGCTCTCGCTCAGCATCGCACTCCAGTTCCTCGGGATCGTCGCGTAGTTCGTCCTCCTCCTCGGCCAGCTCTTCTTCCAGCACCTCCAGCGGCTCAAGTGGTAAGTCCTATAAGATTTTAAAATCGAAAGCCCGCCGCCTGCATACGCATCTTTTCGCCCAAGCCCGCCTTGGAGCCAACGGCAAGTCAAAGAGCAAAATTGGTGCTTTTGACATTAACTTGGACGAGTTCTGGGCCGGAAGTATGGAGACCCTGAAAGCTCTCATGCACTCGCCTAAACCCATACATGCCAAAGTTGCCAAAGAGTAATGCAGCTACCTGGAGTACTTGGCACAGAAGCGACGCCATTACTATGCCAAAGCCATCCTTGCCTTCGACCACGACTTCCGCGAGCGAGCGAAGGCTCATAAGTGGAATTTGGACAACGCCATTGAACGCAAAACCATTGCCTCAAGCCATTTTAACTCCCAAACCGCCTGCCATAACGGTATGCCTTACGCTGCAGCTAAGCCCGCCGCCACGACCTCCAGCGGTAGCCAGTGCAGTACCGGCAATTTGCTCCCAATCTGCGGTCGCTTCCACAAGGGAGAGTGTGCTAGTTGCAATTACCGCCATCTGTGCTACAAATGCAACCAAATGGGTCATGGTCGCAATAACTGCCCACAGCTGCGTCGCAATAACGGAACTGCTTAAAACCCCAATCGCCAGGCTGCCTATTATCCGCTCCGAGAAGACATCCTGCATCCGCGTTGGCCTGCCCTTTCATTTTACTGTAGCAGTATGCTGAAAGCATGAGCACCATACTGCTACAGTAAAATGCTGAAAACAAACTGCAAGCGAAGACCGATGAACTTCCAACAGAAAGCCTTCGTCACGTGCAGAAAGCATGGGACACGCCCGCTACACTTGCGACTTTCTCCGAATTAACCCAACTGCGTGGATCACTGGACCAGGTCGCGCATCTCAAAGCTGTATCAGTACCCGAATCTGGTATATGGATTCACGCGCTTCCCGCTGCATGTCTCGGAAACCTACTGGACAACACGGCCTTCCGGATCAGCGTCGCTTTACGGTTAGGAGCGCCTATTGTTACTCCTCACGTTTGCGTATGCGGCATGCAAGTTGATGAGTTGGGCCGGCATGGACTTCGCTGCAAGCGCTCAGCAGGAAGACTGCCAAGGCACGACGGTATTAGCGGTGAGATCGCCCGGGGCCTTAAGACAGCGGGCTTTCCTGCCAGAATGGAGCCAAAGGGCCTGTCGGGTAAAGATAACAAAAGGCCGGACGTCATCACTCTAGTACCATGGGCACGAGGTAAACCACTGGCTGTAGATGTTACCTGCGTTGACACACTCGCGGCCTCCTATATTGATCGCACCTCCGTGAATGCTGGAGCCGCAGCGGAGCAAGCCGAAAGGGGAAAGTTATCGAAGCACAGCTGGCTGATGCCACGATACGATTTTGTTGCGGCGGCGTTTGAGATTCACGGACCGTGGAGCGGTGGCACTAAGAAACTTGTGGACAAGGTTGGAAGCTGCCTAATATCTGCCACTGGCCAGAAACGCGCCAAAGAGTTTTTTCGGCAGCGTTTGTCTATACAGATACAGCGCGGGAATGCGATATGCGTTATGGGCACGATTCCCGAGCAGGACAGTATAGAAGAGTTTTTCTTGTTGTGATTGGGGTGTATCTGCCGCGGATGATTGTTTCATGCTTGTTGATTTTTGAGGGTTACGGTGTTACCTTTGAATAGTAGAAATGAGCACCATTGTTAGCTGACATACTTCTCATTAATAACGTGGTTTTTCTCTCATCGCAGCTTGTGCCTTTTCATTTCAAATGGTTTTCTTATTTTCGCGTATAAGAATGAGCTTCATACACGACAGCATGTATGTTCGTAACCTTATATTATGAAACAAAATGTTGCATGAGGGAGATTTTGAAGTTAATGACGACCCGTTTCAACGTTGTTCCTTGACTAGAAAAATGAATAACTGGAGCACAATTTTGCGTCTGATAACGACAGAGATTTTATCCTGAACGGCCTGGCCTTCGGTTGTAAACTTGTAGAAGATGCCAGCCAGATAGCCGCAGCATAATGCCATTACTACGACAGCGCACTATCCGCAAAAGCTAAACTATATCTTGACGCCTTGTTCCGTAATGAAATATCTGAAGGCAAAATTTCCTTTTCCCCCTCGAAACCCACGCGCGTGCATGCAATCGGCGCAGTCCAGAAATTCGGCTCAGACAAGTTTCGCCCAGTTACCGATTACAGTCAACCGATAGCCGACAACCTAAACTCGCATATTTTCCTGACAAATTTTCCTTTCTGTGTTTTTCTGTGTTTTGGACTCTCTTTAGCGCCATTTATTTTCTTCCGGTTATCCTCCGCAATCGCGCGCTTTGTTCGCCGCAAAGGTCACAAAATAGTTTGCTATCTTGATGACTTTCTGGTGAATGGAGAAACAGCCGACCAATGTAACACCGCCTTGGAATGTTTCATAAGCACTTTAACGGACCTGAGATTTGCTATAAACTGGGAGAAAGTGATTTCCCCCACTACCCGCATCCGCTTCATAGGCATCATACTGCGTACAGTTGACAATAGAACTGCCACAGGACAAGCTGCAGACCATCCAAAAGGAGACAGATTTACTGCTCAGCCGCAACAAGGTCACCAAAAAAGAGTTGCAACAACTGGTGGGCCGCCTTAACTTCCGTGTAGTCAAGGAGTCTGACAATACTCAAACGGTGTCGTTTTTTATTCGCGCTTCCCCGAAAAATCCACCTGCCTTATGGTGGCTAAAACATATTTTACGCCTCGGTTGCTTATAATTTCCGCGTATGCGCTTCTTACCTTCCTGGGAAAGAGAACGTTATAGCTGGCGCCATGAGCCGCGCCACAACCGAACCGCACCTTTTAGACAAAGTTTTTGCCGGAAACCACCCCGCCTTTCCTGACTTTCCATGTGCTATACTGCGTGCAGTTGATCTACAGGTATCCAAACGCGCAAGCTGGATAAACGGCTGCGAAAATTGTGGAAAACCTCACTAGCACCCTCATCTCTGCGTACCAGAAAGAGCCAGTGGAAGACTCCAGTACATATACCAGTACCAGTATACCAGTACCAGTACCTCCAGTGATATACCAGTACTTCTGCAAAAACATTTCAGCCCGCCCATGTCCCGCAAGCACTAAAACGCTATGCCGCTTTATCGCCCATCCTTCGCAAAAAATGCAATATTTCTCGATTCGGAACTACCTCGCTAGCGTTATTTCTCTGCACCATCGCAAAGGGCTGCAGGCTACAGACCTTTCCCGTTTCCGCATACAGCAAACACTACGCGGTATCCAGCGCAACAAAGCATTAACCCCCATCGCCAGACTTTCGATCACGCCCGAAATGCTGTGCAAAATCAAAGGACACTTAACGATCTTGCCAAGGCGTTTCCGTAAGCCCTTCTGGGCAGCCGCTCTGATTGCTTTCTTTTCTCTGCTTCAGAAAAGCAACCTGCTTCCTTATTTCAAGAACACCAAATTCCTACGCGTTAATGGGATACATTTTACACCGGGTGGCCTTAGTGTAACCGTCCCAGCCATTAAAACCCGCGTTCATGCCGCCGCTTTGGTTACACTACCAATACCGACGATTCGGGACTCACCGCTGTGCCCAGTCCATACGGTTTTAGCTTATTACAGTAAAATAAGCCGTTTTCAGCATCCTTGCGCTTTCTCGCATGTTGCCGCAAACGGGAAGGTACAACCACTCGCAGCAGGAAAGTTTCAGTACTTCCTGAAGCGGACGCTCAAAGCCGCCGGGTACAACCCCACACAGTTTCCGCAGGGGAGGTACCACCTTTGCCCCTCGCCGCCGGAGTAACCGCCGAAGAGCTAAAAGCGCAGGGAACCTGGGCCAGCAACTGTTCTGAACGATACGCTGGTCGCGCTCCTGACCTCCGCTCCCGTTTTGCCAAAACTGTCGCGGCCGACTTGGAGGGATTTTGGCGTCGTTAGGGCGGTGCGCACCGTGTTGTTTGTCGGCACTACTGTGCCCTTTTGTACCCCAAGTTGTGTTGTTGATATATTTCGAATAAAGTGAAGTGTGATGCGTTTATCAGGTTGGTACAATCAACAAACAGGGTAATGGGAAATACACTTAAATTTTACTGTTATTTCAACATTTTTGAATAATTTGCGGTACAATGTGCATGGCAATGGTGGCGGGCAGTTGGCAAAACATTCTGATTCAACAGCTACAACATGGCGATATACCGTTTCGGATCTTTTTCTTAATATGTATTATCATTATTTTAACGCATTAGCTAATATTGGGATCATCCATAAATTTCAAGATAGAACTTTCGCCAAAAATTTCACCCGTATCCCGTGGGGGTGGTTGGGCGTGGGGGTGGGTTAAAGTTTAAACTTCAAGGCAACGTCACTGTTTTTCTACCCGTCGTTCGGTGGTGTAATTCATACAAAGACCCCGCACTCGGCACTTATTTACTACGGTGCATACAGTTTCCTATACACTAAAACAATTTTTCGAACGATGCTTTCTAGAAAAAATCAAAATTCAGAATGACCACCTATAGAAAACATGAAATTTTTAAGAGTATCTGTAAGCCTGACTGAAACTGACCACGCGTTGACGGCTCCATAAAAACGGTGCGGGAATACGTTTTGAAAGGGAGTACTGCGCGCTGCCTCCCACAGTCTGGAGATCTCTCAAATCAAGAAATTTTGAAAACAACTGATGCCATAGTTAGATCGGTCAGTTAGTTAGTTAGTTGCCGTGGTCCTGAACTGGGTCACATGACTTTTGTTTTGAATACGTCTAACCAGAATCGTGCCGGCCGGATGCCGCAAACGCTCCGACCCTATGTCAAGGCGACTTTGACCTTGAAACTTGGAAAAATTTTGCCTGGAACACAAGTAACATACATTCTAAATACGCAAATTAAACGGATATAATAATCTTATTTGGACAACACCAACCACAAATTTAGGAATTTTGGAAAAAAATTCCGGCCAGAAAGACCCCGCTAGTGCTAGAACAGTTGACAGAAGGCGGACCCGAAGGCGACGCCGAGCTGCGGCGCGAACGGAGCTCGCGGAGCAGCAGACGAGACACTCAGGAAAACAGTTTCTGACGTCAAACGGTAAACGGTGCAAGAAAGAATGCAACACGATTTTGTAGCGCTTAGGTGATTTCAGAGCTATTTCGCTGGTGTGCGTAAAGCTAAAAAAAACCTGAATATTGAAAGATAATTTGAATATGGTTTAACGTCCTGAATATTGTTTAACGTTTAACGGTAATTTGAATATTGTTACGATTTTATCGAAGACATCGGATATCTGTTTTACCCGCTGGCAGTCGAGACGTTCGGGACTTTCGGAACGCCTTTCGCCGAGCTGATCCGTTTCGTCGGCAGAAAGATTCGTGAAGTTACCGGGGAACCTCGGTCTACCGCCTTTTTAACGGTAGTCCGTGGAAATGCAGCGGCTGTTTTGGGCTCACTTAAGGCACGTCCCAAGATCATGCGTGACACTAACGATTTCGGATGTTTTTTTTAATGTTTAAAAGTTTGATGCTTTTAATTAGTGTAAACCTGCGCAGGCGGTTTGTTATGTATGCTGGCCGAAGCCGAATAAAATCAGTCGTATATTGTTTAACTGGGCAGACCCGGCAGGGCAATAGCGGTTGACCGGTCGCCGAATTAGGAGATTGTTAGTCGGACAGACTGCTATTTAAAAAAAGACCATTACGATTAAAGGCAATAATATAGTTCAAATAATTATCGAGCTGTACTTGAACAATCCGCAAGCAATGTTTGCTTGATGATTGATCTGGAAACAAATCCAAGTTTGAAAACTGCACATGTGAACGGCATGTTGCCGGAAAACTGAGTTCAGCTGTTTTTAAAACATCCAAGCGTGAGATCAGTCTTTGTAGTCAGCTGAGCGTAACCATGTTTACGCAGAATGTTCGAATATCGAAAAAACTGTAGTCTGCTAATGACTGCTATGAGCACGAACTTAACTGCCAGTAAAGCATGAGCAAGGTGTAGAACAGACTGAACAGTGCAGAGCGATATCAGTAAACAAAACTGATCGAATCGTGATCGTCTTTTATTTTTGTTTTCTACTATTAGCGGAGTATTTAGTTCATCAAAACCACGCTGTGAACCCTCTCTACATTTGCAGATATTTTTTATGAGTTTGTATAATTGTATTTTCGGTATACGGGAATCCATCGCTGATTTATTCTACGCAGACAGCGCAGTTTGCGCGAGGTTTCCTAGTAGGAAATGGATTCTGCGTGACTGTGCCAATATTTCACACTGGTGCTGAAGTTTATTTATTAAAACCCATATAATTATAAATTATGATCAGTGGCCAAAGCCCGACAACATACCAGCCACTGAACAATTTTCCTACCAGCCATTGAACAATTTTACGGGCTTGCGCTCAAGTGTTCACGTAAGCACTTATGAAGTTAGCAAAATTTCGGTGCAGACACTGACATGAAAGTAGGAAAAACACTCCAAACTTTCAGTGTTACCAGTGAATTTCTTGGATTACGTGTGGTATGCGGTACCTGGGATGGAAGGTGCCTAGTTCGTGGAAACGCTGACGAATGTACAACACCAGCCAAAGCCACCGATATAAAAAGCCTTAACTGCAAATGGAACTCCATCGCGCGCCGAGAAGGAAGCATTTCATTTATAAATAGATTCGTGTTCTAAGACAAATGTTTGGTGTTTTGTTACTGTGTTTAACTGGACTGGTCTCGTTTTCAACAGCCCACGGCGACGATGTTAAGTTTACCATCCCTGGAGGCCAACCGGCCGGCATCCCGCAATTTGTCCGCATCGAAGAACCGCATCCTGATGGGAAAATTAATCATGATTACCAGTACGCCGCAGTCGCCTCTGCAGGCTTGTCCGACCCAGGTATTGGCCAAATAATCATATTTGACGAAGATTATGATGACACACTCAAGCCGGGGGAGAAGAGGTGCCCCGTGGACGGCGATCCTCACTGCCGTAACTGCCGGGCGGGATACAAGGACAGTGACTTTGTGCAGTCGCAGTGCTGCTTCGCCCACCACTGGGCCTGGATGAACAATCGCACCATCCGCGACGTCCTGCCGTACCGCTTCCATCTGTCACCTGTGAACCAAACGGAACTCCCCAAGGATCGTTACCATACGGCTGGCGAGATATGGCAAGGTACGCACGTCTCTCCTATATCCCCTGTCTCTGTGAAGCGATATTACGTAGCACCTGTTTTCCTGCCAATTGTTTCCTAAGTCTGAGTTACAGATACTTTCATAATTACAATTGCATTCTTCGAAAGCTAATGCTTTTTATTCGTCGGAATTCAAAGACTTTGGGGACGTTTTGATTGATAACGCTTATAATTAATATTAAGACAACAGACTGCAGTTGTGCTTAGTTGACTACCACGTAAGTCTTCTATTAAGATTCGATTTTAAAGCAGAATATATGTTGTGCCGTATAGTTATACTATAATTTTTATTGAAAGAGCAATCAAACACTGTTTGGGTGGTTATAGAGGATCCGTGCACGAAAGAGCCAGTTGCGACTATCCCTAATGGAACCTACATCCCGTGCCGCCAGCGCAACGCTTGTCCGGATGTTAGAGAAAATGGAACCATATGGTGACGTCCGTACATCGGCACCCGATAACGCCGTTATCAAAATGGAAGACTTGGCAGCGAATCTGCTATGGCTTGGCTCTTTATAATAATTTTCAATTCGACATTTGTGTTGCTGCTTCTTTCTTTTTAACCTTATACTAGTATAACCTTGTCATGCAATGTACTGCATTGTTACCGCAACGAAATACTTATCGATTTTGATGCATTTGGTGGCAGTCCGCTCGACCAACAAAAATGTCGCCTTATGGCAATTACAAAGTAGCCAGTAAAGCCAACAAAAAGTTTTTATTTATCGCGCCCATTGGTATCCCTGGGATACAAAACTAATTTATCCGAATGCTAGGGGCCGCCCGGTTGACCTTGTGGGAGGGTGTACGGAATCTTGTTTCCGTTGGCTGTTTACAACGATGCGAAGCCGGTTACCCACAGCAGTCACATACCCGGCCGTCAATTCTGAAGTGCTCTGGCTATGCAAATGCAGCGCGCCCTTTGTTTGCCGGGTTGCATGGCCCGTGGTGCACCATCATCAAAGTTTTCCGGGAACTAGCCAACAGCCGCTTCCATACGTTTACACGGAAAGGCTTTTCGTGAATAATCCAAGGACATTCTCCTCACACTGCCTGCGTGAAATATTTTTTTTTAAATCTATGTCCGGGTGCTCACCGACACTTTGCTGTTCTGGAAAGTTCATTTTACCATAAAGGCGTAAACATGTAGATTCGACAACCGGGTGACGGATTGTCGGAGGCACCGCGACATTTCATGGAGGACGATTCGTCGCAGGACATTTGTTCGCAGACTTCCCGCCGCAAGGTCTACTCGCCTCGCGACAATCCATCACGGAACGATTAGTCGACAGGACATCTTGACGTGAGACACTTCGCCGCGATGCCGTACGACGCCGAGAAAATTTGACGCGAGGCTGATCCTTCGAACAAACATTCCACCAATTCCACAAATACGTTAAATCAAAGAAAACATAATATAAAAAAAATAAACTTAACAAAACATAAAGGCACCCAAGAAAACAAGAAAATATAAGACATAGCAAAAGAAAAACAAGAAAAACACAAGAAAGAAACCTAGTAAAACATAAGAAAACATAAGAAGCCCAAGAAAACGTAAGGGGAACGGGAAAACCTAAGAAGAAAATTTGAAAAACTTGTGAAAACTAAGCGTGAAATTTTTGTTTGTGGTGAATTATTCGCGGCCAAAGGTCTCGCGTCAAAATATCGCAAAGGCAAGATGTCTCGAAGTGATATGTACCAAACCGAAATGTCCCAGCGTCCGTACATTCCGCGGCGAATGCCTTCCCGGCGAAAAGTCGCGCGTCGAATTAAACTGCGGCGACTTGTCACACTCCCCATTGTCCGGGTGCGGAGGAAGGAGGAAACGATTTTGTTTACGCACAACGTACGTGCCGGTCCACGTCGAAAATTTTTCGGTTTCTTATTCTTTCGAGGGGTTTTATCGAGTGCGTTAGTACATTTCGGGATACCAATTGGGTATGAGAATGTTGTCGGCAAATAGTCTGTTTGCAGCGGGTTACGGCTGGCCGATCTTGCTGCTACCGTTTCAGGTCTTCGGGTTGCTGGATTACTAATCTTTGGCGTAAGGCTAGAAGCTTAATTTTCTAGCATAAGACTAAAAGCCTAATTTTGTCCGAAGTGACCAATTTTCTCGGACATTTTTTAGACTTCTCTGTAAACGCCGTAGGACGTCCTTTAAGGGGACGGAGTGCTGACCCACACATTAATATCCATAAGGATTTATTCGTGGTAAGTTGTAACAATGCAGGACATGGCCGTTCAGACGCCAGTAACAATGGGATACCGATGAGGGTGGGGCGATAAATGAATTAGTTTTGTATGCTCCTCTGTAATTGTCATATGAGAACGTTTTTGTGGGTCGAATTTCTGACAAACGCATCAATATCGATAAGAATTTCTTCGCGGTAACAACGCAGTACATTGCATGACAAGGTTAGTTTAGTACACCTATAGCTCGTTTCGTACCACTCCAAAAATGCGACCTATTATTTTCCGCTACGTATTCCTAGTATTCTCGCGTATTCCACCGGTATTCGTTCGTGTTCTGCCTTTATTTAGCCTTTATTCTCTCCGTATCCATTAAGTGTTCCTCTGCAGTGGGTCCTACCCCGTGTTCCACTGGTACTCTTGCGTGTTCTGCCTGTATTCTTCGTTTTCCTTCACGTCTTCTTATGTTTTAAGTCCGAATGCCGGCGGAATACAGGCAGAACACGCGAGAATAACGGTGGAATACGGGGAATACAGGACCCACTGCAGAGAGACACTTAATGATACGGAGCGGTTCCACCGGTGTTCGTGCGTATTCTCCCTGCAATTTGAGGCATTTTTAGGCAATCTTAGGTTTCTTGTCTCTCTGCAGCGGGCCCTGAATTCCCCGTATTCCACCGTTATTCTCGCGTGTTCTGCCTGAATTTTACCGGTATTTGGACTGGGAAAGCATAAGAAGACCTGAAGGAATACGGAAGAATACATTCAGAGCACGCGACAATGCCGATGGAATACGCCAAAATACTAAGCATACGTATCGAAAAATAATGGGTCGAATTTTTGGAGTGGTACGAAATCGTCCACATATCATTTAGTAAGATTAGAAAGAAAGAAGTAGCAAGGCTTATGTCGAAATGAAAATTATTATAACAAGTCAAGCCATAATAGTTCTCTGCAAAGCCTTCCTATCTCGTAACGGGGTTATGGGATGCCAAGGGCCAACGCACGGACGAAATATATGGTTCCGTCTTTTCTAACGTCCGGACAAGCGTTCCGCTGGCGGCACGGGATGTAGGCTCCATTAGGTATAGTCGCAACCGCCTTCTTCGTACACGGATCCTCTACATAACAACCAAACTGTACTTAACTGCTTTCTCAAATGACTGTATGTAAACGTCCGTGCGTTGGCATCCGATAACTCCGTTACCAGATGTGAAGGCTTAACAACAACGTTGCTATGGCTGTGGCTCGGGGTAAAAAAAATTTTAGTATGACCTCTACCACGCGTCTTCTTGCTGTCGTGTCTTACAAAAACCTTTCACGCAATGTACCGGATTGTCATAGCGGATAAATTCTTACGATATTGATGCAAAAGACAGTAGTGAGCTCCTCACAGGAAAGGAAGCCTTCTGACAGAAATGATTGACAAAACGGACATTTCTGTTCATCACGAACTCGGTTTACACGCAGGCCTTCTTTTTGAGCTTTCGCAGTTGTTTTAGCGACGAAGTCTTAAGGTAAAATTGATAGCTGGTTTTTGCAGCAAATACAGTAGTAATACATATCATTTATTATTATGAAGCGCAATCAAGGGCGTTTAAATTAAACCTACATACTGTACGGCACTGTTATTATGAAATCTAAGACGATCGGCGCCAGACTGAAACATCTGAAAAACAATGTTTCTGAAAGTGTGCAATGCGTAAAATTATTCAGCGAAGTCTGATTACAAGCCTAGATTCGTCGTGTATCTGTATGTGTTTCTCAGAAGCTTATTTGGGTCGAAATACGAAGTTCGCCTTTAGCATTGCCATCAGTAGCCGTTCGGACATTTTGCATTCCAGTGCACATTACTTGTACATCCATCGATCTACGATTACTTTGCGGAAGACGAGGGACTTACAGAGCAATCGATGCAAAACAACATTCAGGAACAATTTCATACGCATATTTCTGCAGCTGGATTTATTCTAGCTGTTTCGTACTTAACCTGTAAAGTTGGCGGGGTGTGTTTTCACATGACCGCGCCCATCTTACTGGCTAGCTATTCAATCTCCTTTGCCATACCTTTTTCGGGTGTAAATTCAGTGGTTAGTAAAATGGATGTTTCATACAGTATCGCCAATAAAGTCAATGCTTCCGGGTTGCGTTGTCGTAGAGCGTGGCTGATGCCGCTTTGCATAATAGCACTTTCTGCACTCCATCGAGTCATCGATGTTCAATATACAGTAACTAACGCTTGATTTTTACGCATACAGTATGCGTTCATGTCTGTCTGGGTACCGACAGCTGGAATAGGTGCAGTTTATTAGCTGTATCCTGCATAACCTCAGTCGTCACACCAAGAAAATCGATTTAAGCCCGCTTGACAATTAAATTGCGGCTTGCTGTTTTTTTTCCCGGCAAAACCTACGTAGATCCGCATATAAAAAGAATAAAAAAAATGTAAGTAACGCGGTTGAAGTGACATTTATGCCATACGTCCATCAGCTAATGGAAATATCAATAATTTGATATTGACGGCATGACTTAGACTTCGCGGTAAATAAACTACCCTTCACCGAGTAACATACGCTGCCCGAGCACGTGAATTATTTTCAAGTGGATTTTTTAATTTTGTCAAGTGATTGCTCCAGTTATCCGCCATGGTATAACGGCACTATTCCCCACCTCTGTAACCCTTGCTGCATTCCCTTAATTAACCGCATCAATGGTCTGCCAGGTTATCGACGCGGATTTCATCAGTCAATCCAATACATACGTGACAATAAACCATAGAGCACATCAGGCAACCCAGTTGATCTGTTAAAGTGTGTGTCACGCGCCGGCCACAATCTCATTCCCGCTTTTACAGTGCATCTTCAAATATCAACGAGCGTAGTCAATATCCGGAACAACTGCCATTGCTCCGGCAGACTGTTGCTGTGCCGCGATGCTCACCAATCTTACCAATTTCGTCGCCATCAACAAAACACAACCGGCATGGATTGTCCACCACGCGGCACTTCACTTATGGTTCTATCTGGTCGTTTTTCTCAGCCTAATTGGGACGATATTTTCCCTGGCAATTATCGGGGTTATTTTATCATCGGCGCGCTACCGCACCGGCTCTGGCGTTTTGCTGCTCAACTTTCTCATCAGCATTCTTTTACAATGTGGCGTGGGGATGCCGCTGGTGACGGCGTCCGTTCAGGGCATCCCGCTCGGCGGCAGCAACTCTAATACGCCGTATTGCCGTGCGGCAATGTTTATTTTCCTCGTGCTGACCAAAAGCGTCACACTAGCCGACATGATGATCGGTGTTAACCGGTTCGTGGCCATCTGTTTCCCTCATCATTACTTCCACTGGATTCGACCGGTGCCGTTAACGGTGATGGTCGGTATCCCGTGGCTGCTGCCGGTTATCCTGACAGCGTTAATAGTGTCTCAAGTTGGCGGGGAATTTAAGGTAAGTTGGTGTTCGCTTCCGCCACCTTTTCAATCGTAATTAAAAGGCATCAAATGGAGTGATGGCTCGGTTATCCGATACACAGAATCGCATACAGCATACAGTAATTAAAGCCGTATGGAAGAGTTGGCGCACGCGATTTACAGCACTGACTTCCCACGATTTATGCGAAAACGTGCTGTTGGTTTGTCGGGTGTTTAACCAAAGTAAATGTCTACGAGCGTTGTTAATGCCGGTCATACACTGTACTGAACGGACACGTGTAACCATCCAGAACATCCGAATGTCGGAGACGCCCGACCGACGTTTTGGCGCTTAAACCGTCTAAAATGTCCGGGGCCGGAAAAACGACCGCCCAAATTATAGCGGTCAAGTTGAGACGCGCGGATACAAAATTATGTTCATAAGTGTGCAAGATCGAAAAGCAAAGGCAAAACTTACGTACAGTTAAGCAAGTATAGGTGCAACCTCCTTATTTATTTCCAATGCTTTGATGAACTCAGGAAACTAAAAATCGAGCAGTCGGTCCACGGTTCAACAGTTCGGAAAGGAAAATTATGAAACCATCACACAGTGTGCCTCACAAACTTATTGCGTCTAAACATAAATCAATGTTTGTTTGCTCAATATGCGTTCAAACGTAGCATCTTCTTTGTTGAGCGCTAGGTACATTCAAAGTTTTGTTTGCTCGTGGTTTAATAGTTTTGACCAATTTACCTATAAAAGACAAAATCAGAAATGCATCTTAATCATCTCGTAGAGGTTGTGCCGTGAGGAAACTAACAGCTGGCTAGTGTTAGCTTAGAAAATTAATGATATCGCAGTCGTCATGGGCGTTGCCACCGTGCGTCTGCAATCGTTTCGGTATTTACGGGACACTAACCAATTCAATCAAAAGCAAGTTCTGGACGCATCGACTATTTTGAACAGTAATTGTGTACGCCCAGAGCTGCTTTTGATTGCCAAGAAAGTTTCCTGTCCGTTGTCGTCGTAATCGGCTTAGATTTTACACGGCGACCGTATGTACAACCGCAGCATAAACTCCACGGCACCAAGTGCATGAATCCCATAAAGCGACACGCAGTGAACGGTACAAATCCTTTGAAACAGTGCGCTATACTGCTGTTTCGCAAATAATCGCAAATGAATGCTTTGACAGATGCAATACGCCCATGGTTGTTAGTAAAATGTTAATGGTTTGGATATTTTGAAAGTATTATAGCGATCGTCTAAGCTGCCTGTTAGTGTAACCATACATAGAGTACTCACTGCGATATTTTGTGGATCTGCGAGCAGCAAACACTGTTTAATCAAGTGAGATAACCAGATGAATCCATAATATGGCCAGAATAATATCCATTCACAAAGATCAAAGACAGAGAGTACTCGATTAAATGAAAAACATTATTTAATCCGGGTGGCTTCATTCGTTTTATGGGTGCATCCCTAATCTAATCAAAAAATTCATCACAGATTCCGCATAGAGTTCCGCTCCACACAGTGGTTTCGCCAAAATAATTTCAGCGTAGCAATGACAGCGGCGCTGATTATTTGGGCTAAGAAAATGGTCAAAACAGGGGTCCTAAAACCGAAGGTAATATTCGCAACTTTGTGATGGACAACCTAACCATTCCTGGCAATCACAAAAATGATGATTAACTTTTGCGCGGTCCCATAGGGTAGTATTCCTAGATAACTGTACGGTGATCAGCTATGTATGTATTATTATGGAATAAATAAGCAAATGGCAACGGTCTGGCCTTTTCATTGTTGTTTGGTCGATGACCAATTCAACAATTACAAGCCAGACCGTTAGCGTTAGCGATGCTGTTTAACCGATGTGCAATAAATATTTTTGTCCCGTACTGCAGCTGGGCTGACTGACTGCAGAGCCACTACGCAGCCTGTCATCGGCGCCGGTCAAGGTTTGGCAACGACATGGCAAACAGTATAACCTGATAAAATTTTAGTAGGAAAAACGCAAGAAGGTTCAACAGAAAACGAGTTTGTGTGTCCCTGTTGTAGGCCTACTGGCCTAGTACTAATACCCGTGTTCTGGGTGCTTGAAACTTATATTCTTATATTGCTAGTTCATCCTGCGCCCCGCAGATGGTTGTTTATGACAATCAGTATGTCGATGGTTGCTGAATATGATGCAAGAGAGCCAGGTGTAATTACGGCTGCCATATAAGGCCGGGCCCCATGTAGGCCGATGTGAATTATACATGAGGGCGCAGGCCCTTCCTCTTGTGGAACGACAGTGGGACCGCATTTTCACTAAATGGCTAACGCAAACAAACCACGTAATTACTTATGTAGAGCGGGATTATGAGCAGCTGTCATCGGGGAAGTTTGTGGTGAGTTGGGTATCGAACATGTGTTGATACCTGATCTGACCAGCTTGCCATGGCCACAACAAGAATGTGCAGGTTAAGCGGAAGCTAGACATGCGGTTATGAACACGACTTCAGTTATCTGTTTTTATACTTCTACTTATAAAATCTACGCTTAATAAATTGGGCGAGATCCAGTTTTTTCTTTATTTTGGCGTATTGCAGTGATAGATGCCTTGGTGCCCAATGCCCATAATAGATCCCTTACAACGCTAAATAAATAATTCGCGTTGAGACCTCAAGCATCATCGTTTATGCAGGCGTTTGCATTAGACTTGCTTTGCCTAACGTAAATAGTTATAATTTAAGTGAGTAGGTCATTTAGCTTAATAATTGTTTGATGACGCGGCGTTGTTTATGTTAGATTTGTCACCATAACAATGTACCTAGTTTACAACGTAAACGTTCTTCAAAAAATCTTGATAGAAAAACTTGGAAGCCCCGGTGTATATCTAATGCATGCAGCGGATATCTAATGCATGCAGTGCCGAAGCAGACATTCGAATGATTCAATAATATCTGCAGCATTTTATAACTTCATTTGATCAATCAAACTCGGGAACAGCGTCTTTTATCACGATCTGTCTGAAGTCTTATTACGTTCAATTTATGAACGACGGAAGTTATTTCGCTTTCGGGAAATTCCATGTATTCATTTGATGCTCGTCGAGATTACGTTCCCTAATCATAGGATCGATATAGATGGAAGATATGTATCTGTAGGTGGTATTGTTAGCTTTATGCGGCTGCAGTCACGCTCTATCAAATTGTAGCCTTGACTACATCAAAATTCTTCGTTTCTTGATCAGTTTAACTATTTCTCGCAATGATTCTTAAACTAATTTTCAGAGCGGGCCGCCTTGGGGAGCATGCGTTGTGCAGTACACAGACTCCGCATCTTCCTTCTTCTCCGTATTTTTCGCGGTTTTCCTCCCGATAGGCGTGCTGACCGTCGTGTTCACCGTGATCTTCAGTGTCCTGTCGGTGCGCTGGTGGAAAGCCCGCGGAAACGCGGAGGCCGCCATCCGCCCCGGGGATCAGCTGCAGCGGCGACGGGCGCGGAGTGTCCGAATGCTGCTTGTATGCTATATTTGTTACACGTCCTGTATCGTGCCGATGAACATGGCGTCCACCATCTTCGGTCGAGCGTATCAAACCGATCCGGTGTTGCAGTTGACGTTGCGGGCCGTGGCCCTACTGGGTTACGCTTCCGTGCCGGTATGTAATCCATGCCGCTCTTTTTGCATTTTGTATAAGAATGCCGTTTTATAGGCTATTTGCTTAATGCTGAATAAAGATTACCGGCGACGTCTGCAGCAACTATCCAGCAAAATCATCCCTGCGCTGAAACGTGCCAGGATTCAGCCGGAAGTCACCGGTAACTTTCCGGCCATATCCGGCAAGGGGACGATTGCCGATGCCACCGTGCCGACCACGCAGAACTCAAATTAAACTACGTTTTTTATTAATTGCACCAATGTATGTCAATAATAAGGCTACAAAATGCACGAAAGCGCTTTACTCGAAAATGCAACTGTCTAGTTTCTCCACACATTGTCCAATGGTTTGTTTTACTGATTCTTGATATCGTAGGCGTGTAAATACAGTACAGAATCGCTGATTCGTTCAGGATGTTTGGCAACCGAATAATTATTAGCAGAACAAAGCTTGATTTTTCAGATCTGTTTCGCAGATATTTCGTATTCAGAGCAAACGTATTGAAGTTTCATTTAAGAGAAACGCTAGTACGACCCGCCAGTTATTAAATTAATTTTGAAAAAGCCCCTGGTTTGGAGTGAATGCGGATGATTGTTCAGTTCGCCCTTTCGATGGAAGCTTGGTTTGACGGCTTCTTGGTACACCTCGTTGTTATCAGTTGTTGGAATGAACGGCACTTCTCCCACTGCCCAAATCACATGCATGACGCCGTTGTTAATCGAGTGGTCGGTGGGATGGGATGCTGTATATATAATAACAAACAGTTGAGTACGTCTAGAAAAATTAAGGCATTGTACTGCAACGTACCCTGAAGCTTTTTTCGAAATATAACATGCAGAATTCCGGTGACGGGATCCTCATAACAACTGCCAGCTGTAAGACTTTGTTCCCCACCAAAGATTTCATCCGGCAGCGGTGTAGAGATATCCCGAGTATAAAGGTCACGAACGCGGCAGTACTGTCCGTGGGCAGCGGCGTAGGTAATATCATTGCACGACATCGGGTGCAACGGCCCTGCAATTCCATCGTACACCAACCGTTACGAATCTTCGAAAATGTTGTGCAAAGAAATTGTAAATATTGCAAAGAGCGATTTGCACCGGGTACCAGCTAAAAATCTTTGATCCTGAAAGTCCACAACTGTTTGGATAACTTCCCCGTCTGTAAAAAAAAAGACAACCAGGTTAATGCACACAGTGAGAATTTTTATGCTGTAGCCAAAATAACGACAGCGAACGATCTCTCTACCTTTTGAGACGGATGAGACCGTTTCTTTCGGAATGACCGGAAATGTTTTGCAGGAGGTGTTGAGTCCTAAAACGCAGAAACGCTTAGTGAATACTTTTAAACAGGATTCCACTTCCTTGATGGATGAGACGAATCTAAATATGCCTGACACTTTTTGCAATACAATGCAATTTTTATGGCATAATTTTATAGTTGCACTAAATACGATTTCTGTTTATACAGAACATTTTTGCTGACACTAAAAGGAAAATGTTACAACCAAATACCACTGCTTAAAGGTTATTATTGTTCATTATTTATTATTTTCCCCAACAGCGTAAATTCTTGAAGCTGAGTCATTTAAATTTGTATTTGTTTGGTTTTTTATTTGATATGTTTTCGGAGTTCAGAATTTAAAAGGGATCTAACCTCTTATTGATTGGATTTATCAATTAGGATTACCTTCTGGTCGCCATCCGAAACCAACCCAATTGGTTGTACCGGCTTCAAGGATCACTTCGATTTCCTTAATTTCCGATAGAATTCTCCAGTAGAACGTGAAGTTACCATATGGTGATGAGCGTTTTCTATACAGTTCTTTTTGGAAACTGAAGTCCTTGACTGCTGACTGGCTGGCGCACTTCGGACCAAACGACCCAACCGGACAATAACACTGGCGTTTGGGATAAAACTGGGCATGGGTGTTGATGCACTGTCCGCCGTTTTCACAGTCTGTGTCGTCCCAGCACTCTTCTGTGATTCCGAAACGGAAACGATGAAGACAAAGAAAATGTTTACAAAATTAGACACCTAAATGACCATTAGTCCATTCACCTGTTAGCGCGCAATAACAAATATAATTAATACAATTACATTACTTAAAATAATTTAAACAAAAAAATCAGAATCGTTACTACGAGTACCCTGTACATTCGGCATTTTTGGACGCTTTTGTGATCTTCGAAATAATTAATTAGCCCATAAATGTTTCTATTACTTAATTTCTTGATAATAGTAATACGCGTATTCTTACTTAAATCAGTAAATACTGTATTAAAGCAGCATCAGAAGCGCACCTTCAAATTCGCAGAAGGTGCCGACAAACGGTCTGTCGCACTGGCAGACTCCGTCTTTCCACGTTCCATGATTCGTACAACGAGATCTATCGTCTAAAAATCAAATCTATAAAACAATTGATTTGGCAAGCATAATAATTATCAAAGTTTACTTGTCGCTTGCTCCACGATGCTAACATCGGCACATGTCCGGAATCCCGGCGGAACCGTCACACCGGGTGGGTTGGCCCAAGCCGGGCCGACGCCCTGATGTATGACTCGAATAACACAACGACCACAGGTTACTTCAGTCGGTAGGCTGACGTAGCCAATGTTTGCTGCCCAGTTATCTCCCACGAATTCGTTGGATTTTCCATTAGGTGGAGCCAGTGTGGAAATCAGATTGTATTCCTTATCCAGTAGCTCAATTCTAAATCCACCCTAAAAAACAGAAACTAACGAAAACGAAAACCTAACCATGTAATTAATCTGACTGCACAATATTATAAAAAGACAATACACCGAATTTTACAGTTGCTACAACCGTACGTTATGCATCTCGCCGACTGTCCAGGTAACATTAAACGAGCTTCCCATCAGTAGCTCCGTTATGTCTGAAATTATCAGGTATCTAGGCGTCTTTATTTTGAAATACGTAAAATTACGTCTATCCCCGGAGCATGTCGAAAATCAACCGAAAAACGCTTTTACCATTTCCCTTTGGCATTCCGCACTGTCCAACCGGAGCAACCCTATTATTCAAGGCGTTTATGGGATACTGCCTAGCTCGGGGATAAACTAAACTGGAAAAGAAAAAAAAGCAAACAGTTAAAATTCAGATAACCAGTTTTGTGTCCTGACCAGTCTTTGAGCAACGTTTATACAGAACAGCAGAAAAAATCAATTTATTTACAAAAATTTGATAGCATTCTGGAAAGTATTAATTTGCTCTGTTGCACAGACTTACAGGTGCACGAAAATAAGAAATTTAATTAAGTAGACGTTAAAATTCAAGTACGCATCATCAGATACGTATGTCCATTGTTATAATTTTTTAAGCAACTCTGCAAGAGATGTACTGCCATGTACCTGATGTGAGATGCCACTTCCGAGACAACCAATACCATCAATAGTCCGAGCAGCCGTAAACCTGATATCCTTACGGATAGTTTTTCAATCTGGAATTTTCGATCCATACTTGCAAGTTGCAGGGTAACTATGCAGACAGCATAAAGAAACACATATATTTTGCGACTACCATAAACTGATTTTGCATAAAAACTGCAGTCAAAGTCCAGCGGAAACGTAAGTATCTATCTGTAGCTGCATGAAAGGCCCCTAGTTATGAGCAGAATTCCAGGTAATCGGCGACGACTATGGGAAAGCGCGTCAACCATATCGACTTAACATAGGCAAAGCATCGGTTTCTTGTCACGCTTTACCGAGAATACAATGCTTCCAGCGGTCTTTCTTGAAAGTGAAAGATTGAACCGTTTAATAAGCATGTATCCAATGCTTTCCTTGAACAACTTTTCCTTTCACAGGAACCGGTTGCTTAGCTTGATCCAGTGATGTTCTGGCGGCTGGGAAACGTCTTTCTTCTATGGACAGTAACAAAAGACTTACAAACCTCTTATTCACATAGTGACATATTGCTATTCGGTTTTGACCTTCAGGGCACTCTTTATTTAATATGGCGGCATGTAAAATGCATAGTTAGTTAGGACTCGAAGGACGCTCGTGCTACAGATTGCCGATGATAATGGAAAATTTCATACAAACATCTAAAACCACAAACAAGTTGGCGTTTGCCAGGGTGCCGTTTTGAGCAAGTATATGATCATAGCACTTACTGGTAATTTTGCTCAAATACAAATAAATGAAAAAAGATTTAAATGAGACTGAGGGGTCTATCAGTGCGTGCTGACGATCGTGTTCACTGTGATCTTCAGTGTCCTGGTGGAGCGGCGATGGAAAGCCCAAAGAAACGCTTTTACCGCTGCCCATCCCGCGATCAGCAGCAACGGCGGGGCGTAGAGTGTCCGGGTGCTGTTTGTTTGTTTTCACGTCTCCCACATCGTGCCGATGAACATGGCGTCCGCTATTTTTGGTCGAACGCGCCAAACCGATCCAAGCATTTTATGAGCGCACCAAACATTTTATGAGAAAGATTCTCACTGGAGAATCTGAATATAACGAGTGTAGCGCTGCTGATGGTATTTCTGTACTTCTTCATAGAATTCTATATTAGAAGGAATGCTCACTAATCAGTTGCCTTGTGATGATTTGGACTACTTTTATTAATTCTGATTTTGATGTTATTTTGATGATAAAAGTGGAAAAGGTGACTCAGTTCTCGATTATTTTTGTAAGATTCTAAATAGAAACATAATTATGATCATAATTATAAGCCCCCTTCGTATGGGATAAGTGTAGTCCCGGGGCAAACCACTACACTTGGCGCTCCTGGCAAGTACGAATTTATCGCCTTTCGGATAGAACAGTAGTTAGTTTTGTGGTATTTCCTGGATGGAAGCGAGCGATCGTCCTCGTACTCGTAGTGGACTTCTCAGAGTAACTCCTGTGAAAAAAGTCCGGAAACCCAGAGTTCCTAAGACAGGAAACGTGAAGAAGCTCAGTATCCCTGCGACTGTGACTACGAGTGCAGTCTCAGCTCCTGTGCCTGTGTTTTCACCTGCAAACTCTATTCAGCCATCTGTAAATATCTTCTCCAGAAGCAGTAAGATGTTCCGCAGTCCGCCAAAGAAAGCTGTGACTCCTGTTCAGGAAGAAATTGAAACGTTGCCCGACGAACCTCTTGCCCCTGCCGCTCCTGCTGAGACAGCAGAGGAACGAAATACTCGTATCGATTCAGAAGTGGATTCTCTCTTTCAGAAGAAACGAGCAGCGGATCCCAGTATTATTTCCGATGGACTTTCTGATGCAGAAGATGAAGTCGATGGCAATGAATTACAGAATACGGGATTCTTGGAGTCGGACGTAGGATTTGGAGAGAACCCGTATCAGCTATTTTCGGCGTCGAAGAACCGGATTGGAAATTTTTCATTTCCGAGTTCCATTCCATTTGGAATGGGATCTCCACTCCGAACACTTCCGGTGATGAATCAGTTTGTGCTCAATAGCTTGACATTGCCAGCCTCTCTTCAGGCCCCAGTCAGTTCGAGTGGAATTGGAACTTCCCCAGCGGTGCCATCATCTCCATTACGGACGATTGTGACTTCCAGTTTCGGCAACCCAGTGACGGTCTCTGCAGTTTCTTTGCCTACTGTCACTACAACGTACAGTACATCAGTTCCTTCATCAGGATCACTTTCCTCGACGTATACAGTGAGTGCACAGATGCATCCCATTTCCAGTACCGTTCCCATTTCTGTACAGAATGTCAGTGCACCAGTTCAGCCTGCTGACATGTCGGATAGTGTTGCTGACGCGTTGAAAGATGTGCTGACATCCTTTGAGAGGATTATACTTGGTACGATGAATACGATGAATAACTTCTTGAAACAGGATATTTTGTCGATGGAGAAAAAGAATGATGATCGGTGGAAGCATCATCAGCAGGACGTTAACTCGGCTTTTGGCCTGGTGACACAGCAGCTGTTGAAGCACGAATCGTCGTTCACTTCTAAGATGCAAGAAATGGATGAATGGAAAGCCACGATGGCAGCGAAAGTGGATTCCTTAGCACAGGATTTTGACAAGATGAAGCGGCAGAAATCTTCGGCTCCAATGGAAAAGTCGCATCAAATTATGCCGCGTGCGCGTACAGAGGATATTCGTGGCCTTTCGGTGATGCACACTCCTTCAAAGGAATCTGTCATGTCTGACTCATCTGTGGAGTTTATTGAAGAACGTGGCCCAGCTATGCGGATGAAAACTCCTCATTTTGCAGGACGTAAGGATGAACGCATCGAAAGTTTCCTTGGGAAATTTGACGCTGTGTCCAAACTGAATCAGTGGGACGACCAGATGAAGACAGTGCAGCTTAGTTATGCCTTACAAGGCGCTGCCGAGAAGTTTCACGGCCAACTGATGGCTCGGTATGACACGGCATCCTGGACATTTAAGGATTGGAGAGACAGACTTCTCCAGCGTTTCGGGACGGAAGGACGGGAATTCTCCGCAGAACAGCAGTTATTTTCCGCCGTGTATGACGGATTGATGGATGCTGATGTGTTCATTCAGCAGATGGCGGACCCGATGGATGATGTTGACCCGGAAATGTCTCCGTCCAGACAAGTACAGTATCTGGTGAATTCTTTTAGAAATTTTCCGGTAATGCAGAATTTTATCATTGCACGGAATCCTAAGTCAATAGGAGATTTAACGTCGGTTGTGCATGCCTTGAAACCTATGCAAGGTCAGAATGGCGTGCCGGCGGTTCCGAAAGTACCGTATTATCAGACTCCTTATACAGGACGTGGTCGTGGTTTTGGTCGTTACAGTGGTTATGGTAGCGGCCGCTGGGGCGGATATCGGAATTCCGGACCACGGATGCAGTCGTCAGCGGATGTGGCGCCGTCCAGCAGTGCCTTGGAAACGCCACCGAAGCAGTCCTATGCGGATGCGGCAGTCGCGCCGGTGCCCGATGGTGGCATGAATTTCCAGCCTGGAATGCCGATGGAATTTCGCCCGCGACCGCCCATGCAAACTCCGCCACCGCGTCGTTTTGTCCCGCAGTGCTATTTCTGTGCAGAACATGGCCATATCAGCAGTGAATGCCGTTGGCCGTCGGTGCCGCAGTCTGAATGGCCGGACAACATCCGTACCGGGAATCAGATGATGGCAGAGCGCCGGCGCAAGTTCTTGGACGAAAGGCGTGCAGCGTCGGCGGCGGGTAATCGTCCGCCGTTTAATCCAGCAAAAAACGCCTAGGCGCAGCTCAGGGAGGTGAGTCTGTGCCGCGTGTGAGAAAGCCTCCGGATAAATTGTATATGAGTACGGTTTACGTTAATTCTTTGTACAAGAAGCAGCTTTCTAAGGCAGAATGCCCAGTTTATGGTCCAGATACGCTAATGGGAATTAAATTAAATAATCGTGAAATCAGCTGTTTATTTGATACTGGTGCTGCAATTTCTATGATTTCGAAAGAATTTTGTGATAATCATAAAATCCTTTATCAGGAAATTGATCCAAATTACCAGCATTGGAATGTGATTGGTATTAATGGTGTATCATTACCGAAGTTTCGTTTCTGTTTGCAAGCCAATTTAGAGATGTGCGATATTGTGTTTCAGCACAGTCTCTTTGTGAGAGAAGAAAGTACGCCTTATCCTTTAATTTTAGGAACGGATTTCTTTAAGAAAATTAAAACGATAACTTTTGATTATCGAGATTATTTTCCGACAATTAAAGTACAAGTGCCTTCTTTGATTAATTCTTTTGAAGAAGAGGAGAAAGTGCAATGTGAAAGGTTGACCCGTGAATTGTTGAGTTTGGGTAATTCATTTATTAATGATGATGGTTTGAACGCCAATCTTGATGCACGAGTACTTGATGACTTCTCAGTAGAAATGCGTGAACGCCTGGAAAGGCTGAAGTGTGATGATTCGTGTGTGAGTGTAAGTTCCAGTGTGAAGCAGAGGACCTCGGATGTTCCTGTTGTGCGACCGGTGCCTGCGGGCGTGGCAAAACCAGTTTCCGGAGTGGGGAATGCGCAGCCTCGTTCTGGATTGGAGAAGTCACCGCAACCGCAGACAGCTAAGGTAGTGCCGCCGAAACGCCGAGTGGGACGTGTTGCGGAGAGTGGATTGGCCCGGCCGGTAACAGTCTATTCTGCCCGACATGTTCAGGTTCCTCCTAGGACTCAGGTAGTCATTGAATTAAGCCCCGGGCGTAAGAAAATAAGAGATGGTGAATATATGTTTTTGCCAAACCGGGCCAAGAATGTAGGCATAGGACTACAGCTGGCTAATGCGGTGGTTAATTGTGAAAATGATACGATTTTATTCTGGTTAGAAAATCGTACTACTAATAATATTATTATTAAGAAAGGTGTTATGATCGGTAGTTTAGAGAATTTTAAGGGAAATCCTGATGTTCCTGCGTCGGTTGGCAGTGTAGGTCAGGAGAATGTGTACATGACAGATGAAGAATTTGAGACAAGTTTCGCTGAGTGCAAATTAAATCCTAATTTAAATGAGGAGCAGCATCAGCGAGTTAAAGAATTAATGCGGAAGCATGTACGATTATTTCCTACAGAGAAGGAACCGTTTGGTAATGTTCCTAATGAATTTCATTATATTAGGACGGGTGATGCGAAGCCGTTTAAGCAGACGCCTCGCCGGTATGACTGGACCGGTAGAAAGTTAATTATGGATGAAGTTGATAAGATGTTAGCGCAGGAGTCATCCAGCGTTCTAAATC